ATTCCTTGATAAAGTGACAAGAAAAGATTGAAGGCAAGCTAAGTCTAGGCAGAAGAAGAACATCATGGTTCAAAATCTGAGGGACTGGTTTGGAGAAAACTCAACAGCACTTTTTTCTGCGGTTGTTGATAAAAAATAGGATCGCCAACATCCGTTGACGGATATGGCATCAGAAGAAGAAGACAAGGTGACAAAATTAGTGGACCAGCAAAATGCTGTGGACAGAGTTAGTATATTTGGACATCTCTTCCCGCTGATCAAACTTTGCAGACTCCACTGCCTCTTTGCCCTCTGGAAGGCAGTACCTTCTTCCTGGGAATCCAGACTACATTGGAAGCATTTGGAAGCAAAATACAATCACAGAACTGTTGAAATATTTTGCTTAGAACAGAATCATATATGGAGAGAGAAAGGCTATGTGAAATGATAGAGGGATATCAAATCAAATAGCCTCGTAGACAAATAACAGAAGAGTGACAACATTATTGAAGAAAAATTACCTACAACACATTCTTGGTGTGGATCAGGCCAAACTAAGTAGTAAGTAAACTAAGACATTACTAGGGCTAATACCTGCCCGACTAATGTCTTAGATACTTACTACTTAACATCTCATTTTTGTGGGAAATTTACAATGAGCAAGAAATCCCCATAAGAACTGGATCTGGAGAAACAGAATGGTTCAGAATGCAAAGGGATTGAGGTAAGGATGCATATTTATAATAATTATTTATCTTATGCAGCTAATACATTTAACAAATAAATAAATAATATCCGAAGTAGCTTTAGGCTAAGGTCAGGTAGGTATGATCCTGGGGTGCCAGAATGTAGGGGATAGAACTGCTCAATAGAACATTTTACAAGGCGAAAGAAAAGTTAAACAAGATCTACAAATTTGGAAAAAAGAGAGGGAGCAAATTGGCAGATCCTGAGGACTATAAACATTGTGCATTTTGAGGAACAGTTCCAGGATTGAGTAAATGTTTATAATATTGGCCTTTTGGTGTGATGGACAATTGGGACATTGGGATCTTGGTAGACTATTGAGTAATTCTTAGCCCATTAAATTAAAGTAAAATGTCACAACAGGGAGAATTAGATGCATCTCAAAATGAAATTCTATTGATGCTTCAATGTATTCCGGAAGCTATGCTAAAGAACCATAGGGAGATGAAGGAAGTGATACATGACACAGATGTGAGAAACTCTCCGTAAATGATAATGAAAATTGTACAAGAAATTCAAGAAATAGAGGAGAAAGTAGAAAGAGTAGAGGAAGAAATAGAGGAGACAAATCAACAAACAATACAAACAGATAAAGATGAGGAAGAGATAGTAAAAATTCCTGAAACGGAGCAAGCCGACCACGCTTTAAGAGCTCAAAATATAGAAGAGCACAAAGAGAAAGAACTCCCAGGAGAGAACAAAAAGTCATTGATGGGCATGCTGGAGATTCAACAATGAGAGGTAGATGTAAAGGCAGACTAAATATTTAGATTAAATAAGAGTGATATAAGGAGATGCAAGATCCCAAGGGAGGAGTATGGGTGATTGGTCAAAAAATCAATAAGAGTTGAAATACTAAAAAGGGCAAGAGATGATGGATAGATATAGAATACTTCTTAATATAAGATTTGTTTGATTAAGAATTAAAAAATAAAGGTAGGAATTAGAAATGGGGAAAATATTACTAGGTATATTGCTATATAATATATTACAATTAACATGCAGATGCAAAAGTTAGAAGTTGAAAGACTATTATCAGATATACCTGAATAGTATTATTATTGTCATGAGTATTGAGCATAAAGTAGATTGATTATTATGATTATTATATTAATGGTTGATACGGGTTGCTGCCAGTGTCCTAGGTATCAACCAAGTATTTTCTTAAAATATATGATTTCCGAATAGCGCAGTTTTTTGCAGTTCCGCTGGTGTTATTGCAGAAAGCTGCAATTTCTTGATTTGTTTTGTAAAATTCTTGGACATGGTACCAAGTGCCCCGATGACAATGGGTATCACTGTTACATGTTTCATCCATAGCCGTGTAGTTTTGATGGCCAGGTCATGATATTTTGTGATTTTTTCCCAGTTCTTTTTCTTCGACTCTGGAGTCTCCTGGTACAGCGATATCAATAAATTGTACGCTTCGGCTCTCGACAACCGTGATATCTGGTGTGTTATGTTCCAAATGATGATCCATCTGTATTTGAAAGTCCCACAAGATCTTCAGTCTCATCATCATCATCATCATCATCATCATCATCATCATCATTATTTTAACTATTATAATTAATATCAGAATTATATTTTGTAAACCTAAAATGACTCAGACAATACCCTGTTCATTAAGCACCTATGTATGTTTAAGGGAAAAAAAATGGATAAATAAAATTTTTAAAAAAGGAAGTAAATAATTTGGGTTAATGTTTAACCTTTATAATTATTTGTGTATTAGCTTTTATAAACTCTCGGTTAATGTTTAACCTTTACAAGAGGAAAGAAACTTCAAGCTGCACGAGGAATAAGCTTACTCACAAATGAAGGGAAATATACATGTCCCAGGATAATGTTGCAGGTTCTAATCTGACTCAGTCACCTGGATCTTCTGAGTTTTTGGGTCGTGCTGGAACCCATCCTCAGGGAACTTCTCCCTCACCAAATCATGTGAATCAACTTACTGCTGATGATGAAGATTTGAAGGTGGTCACCATGTGGTGTTCCCCCCACACCTGGGGTTTCAAATTTGGGATTAGCAGTGTGCTGGAGACATAAAGAGGTATAAAGGATGAAGACTCTGTGAAATGTAAAACCACATCATGAAAGAGTAGGATATTTCTACAACACCGGAGATTGCCGTAGCTCTAGCAGTGGTTTTCTCAATGGTCTAAGCCAGGGGTCTGCAACCTTAAACACTCAAAGAACCATTTGGACCCGTTTCCCACAGAAAAGAAAGCACTGGGAGCTACAAAACCTGGGTGGGCGTGGCCAACTCGACATCACTCACTTCCACGACTCCCTCTCTCTATCTTTCTATGTCTCTCTGTCTCCCCCTCTCTCTGTATCTCTGTCTTTGCCCCAGCCACTTTTCCATCACCCCCTGTTGCCCTTACCTTTTCAGGCCAGGCGAGGAATGACTGGGAGGGGAGGGTGAGGAGCGGGCCCAGCCAGTGGTGGGATCACCCAACAGGGAGCCACAGCAGAGGGCCCAAAGTGCCGCATGTGGCTCCGGAGCCGCAGGTTGCTGACACCTGTTCTAAGCTGTGAAAACAAAACTTTGAAAAGGACCATAAGAAGACAATACATTTCCTGGCATTTTGGACTTGCAGCTCTTTTCTAAAAATATCTTTGACTTCAGCAAAAAGTACGACTTGGAAAAAGATCCAAGATAATATTTGCCCTTATTCATCTTTATTGACAATCCTCATTTCTGTTAACAAAATTCACTATGCTTTTATAGATTCTTTAACCTTAAAGGGGTTAAACAAACCCCTCTTTGTTTACATCCATTTTAAAACTTGAAAGTTAGAAAAGATGCGCTAGAATGTTAGAATGTATTGATTTTAGAAATATCATTGTTGGGAGATTTGTAAGAAAAGGAGATTTTTCCCACTTTATCCAAACCAACAAGACATTGGAATGAGTCAATGCTTGAAATTGTTCCTTGTCTCACAACTATTAAGCGTAGCAGACCGGAACAAGACAGGAGTTTAAAAATGCAATGTACCTGCAGGAACATTTGATTTACTTTTTTGCTCGTTTATAATGAAGAAACAATTTTAGTTTAGGAAGTTAGGGTTGGGGATTAGGGTTAGTGTTAGTAAAGCAATCTGTTTATTTCTTGCCTAAGCTAAAATCCAACAGAACCAGAGGTGGTATTCAGCCGGTTCGTACTGGTTTGGGTGAACCGATAACGGAGATCGTGGATGGGCCCGTCCACCAATCCTGGATCTATGCCGTCCTATTTAGGCACAGTTTTGAAGCCGGGCGCATGTGTGGAAGATGTGCAAAGCATATGCGCAGAAGCCTGGGTACATGCGCGGAAGGTGCGCACCCACACGAAGTGAGTATGTGCGCACAAGGCGAACCAGTAGCAACAAAATGTGAAACCCACCGCTGAACAGAACCACACATTTTGTGCAGAGAGACAGGCTGAAAAGAACAATCATCATCATTTTAGAGGATGTGACTTGGCCAATTTTGAGAATTCTTGCACTGCATAATTAAATTTATTTGACTGTAAAGGCGGAATAGAGGTAGCCCTTGACTTACCACCGTTTGTTTAGTAACCATTCAAAGTTACAACGGAACTGAAAAAAGTGACTTCTGAACTCTTTTTCAACTTAACGACCGTTGCAGTAGTCACACGATCAAAATTCAGACACTCGGCGACCGACTCGTATTTATGACGGTCGCTGTATCCCGAGGTCACAGGATCCCGTTTTGTGACCTTCTGACAAGCAAAGTCACTGGTGAAAGCCAGATTCACTTTTTTTAAAAAAAATTGATTTATATGCCGCCCTTCTCCGGAGACTCAGGGCGGCTTACAATGCGCTAAGCAATAGCCTTCATTCTTTTGTATATTTATACAAAGTCAGCTTATTGCCCCCACAAACTGGGTCCTCAATTTACCTACCTTAGAAAGGATGGAAGGCTGAGTCGACCTTGAGCCTTGGCGAGATTCGAACCTGCAATAATTGCAGGCAGCTGGTCTTAATAACCAGCTTAATAACAGGTGCCTTAGACCACTGTACTACCAAGGCTCTTTGACTTAATGACTGTGTGACTAACTTAACAACTGCAGTGGCAGGAAAGGTTGTAAAATGGGGCAAAACTCACTTAACAACCGTCTCTCTTAGCAGACCAAATTTTGGGCTTAATTGTCGTTCTAAGTCAAAGACTAGTTGTAGTGTTGTACAATATATATATATATTCTTGATATAACATCAGAAACAGAAGCTCGAGATGTACAAAACAGCTGCCCAATGATCAGTCCATAATTTTTTCCAAATTTATTTAGGAAAAGAAAAGTAACATGAGCAAAAATGAGCGTACTTTCAGTGTTACAAGAAAGTATATATAAACGTCTAGCAATAATCAATCTGATTTTTAAATACAAAATAACGACATGAACACCTAATATACAGGTTTCATTCGAATACATATTTATTAGATAAATATTAGGTTTGTCACATCATCTAACTACATACAATTTTTGCAAGACTAAAAATCACAATTCTTTTTTTTTTTTTCTGACCAGTTTTAAAGTATGAAATGACTGGAGTTGTACTGTACATACAATGTACAAACAAAGACAAATGGCCATTTTTGCATGTTAATTCAGATTGTACTTTTTTTATTCTCGTTCGGATCACAATATCAAAAAATTGTACAAAGTATGAATTTGGTTACAATCTTTTTTATTATTATTATTATTATTTAATCCCCTTATTTTCTTCATTTTTTTTCCGTAGCACCCTAAAAATACACAGGTGATAAAGACTAATACACTGAAGCTAATTATTACATGAAGGTAAAACAAAAAACAAAACAAAAGCAATTTTTCCCCACAAAAGATTCAGAGTATATTACAAGAAATGAAACAAAGGTGGAGACTTCACAAACGCTAACGAACAGGATTCATTTCCCAGATAAGATGGTTCTTCAAGCTTTTTTTTTTTTCCTGTAAAATAAAAACAATACACAATCCAAGGAAAATGAATGCATTTCTGTTAACATGTCTCTATTTCCCATTTACATATGTACAGATGTCCCTTGGAGTCTCCACTGCAAACATTAGTGTGTGTGTGTGTGTGTGTGTGTGTGTGTGTGTGTGTTGTGTCTCTGTGTGTGTCTGTGTGTGTGTGTTATCATCCTATAATAACAATAACAACAATAACAACAACAATGCCTTGGCAGTAGAGCTATAAATCTTTGTGTATGCTTTTCCAACTATTGGGAAAATTTAAAAAAGTTGAAAACTCAAACAAAATGCCCCTAAAACAACAAATTGTGTGTGTGTGGGGGGAAAAAAAAAAACTCAAAACACTATATAAATTTGCTTTTCAACACACACACACAAAAGCAACCCTCATTAAGGCCATAACTTATATTTCTTCAAAGTTGCACTGAATGTTAACAGGACTGACTTTTGAGGACTTAACTCCACACTGTTTTAGCAGATATTCTCTGTATTTTAACAGGATGGCAGTGTAATTTATTTATTTATTTATTTTATCTCCCCCCCCAGGCCTAAAGCAATACAATATTGCTGATGAATCATTGGTGTCTATTTGTGGGTTTGTGTTTGTGCGTTTGTGTGTGTTAAGTTGCAGGGCTTTCTAGGCTGATTTTTTTTTTGCAAAGCGCGCTCTTTCAATCAAATCCGTATCCTATCCATCAATTTAGCCGCAGAGATTCCGTGTTTTCAATAAATAGGCTTCTCCTTTTTTTGCAGACCAAAGCAACATAACTCGTTGAACCCTGCCCCCAATGCAGATTGAATTTCTGTTATTTGAGGAAATAATAAACCTTCAAATAATGGGAAGCCTCATACCAACAATTGCCTCAGTTGTAGATGTTTTCCCTCCTATCATGCTTCCAAAAAATAGTAATAATAATAATAGTAACTTTTTAGAGGCTTTTATCTAAATCCCTATGAGCCAAACCCTTCCTTCAACACACCTGCTTTAAAATAATTTGGTTTCAGTTACGTGGAAAAGCAAGAAGGGTTAAAAAAAAGCAAACGAATGCAAGCACTTGTTGGAACAGATATGTGCTTAATAATAAAGGGGCCATTTTGAAGAATTACACAACACTGTCTATGGTTTAAGATTGGCCTCCAACAAATTGCATCCATTAAGCTGAAGACACTCAGTGTCTTCTGACTGACATAAAAAAATGGCAATTTTTTTAGCTTGTTTTGGGCAACCAGACATAGCTGTGCCTGATGTTCAGTGATCACAAATAAGGATGGATAAATTTGAGGAAATATCTTATATTTTTTAAAAAAGAAATACCTCCCGCACTTCTATCTTCATGATTTGTCATCTACAGCCCCAAGCACTGTAATGTATATCAGATATCAGGGTTTATCCTGCTCCCCCTTTTCTTCTCTCCTAGGTGTGGATAAAGCATAATTCTCAGATGTATTTTAAAAAGGATCTTTAAAAATAATAATAATAAAATATATGTCTATAAAGCAGGTGACAGTCATAATTCTTGCTCTTTTGTGTGTGAGTGTGTGGCCCCTTATCACATGGGACTGATGGATGATATGGATTTTCAAACAGATAGGGGCTAATTTATATTAAAAAAGAAAGAAAGAAAGAAAATTAAATGCTCCCTTAGTTCAAGAACTTTTAACTGGGGATGGAGGGGAGAAAGAAAGCAAAAGAAGAAGAAGAAGAAGAAGAAGAAGAAGAAGGAGAAGGAGAAGGAGAAGGAGAAGAAGAAGAAGAAGAAGAAGAAGAAGAAGAAGAAGAAGAAGAAGAAGAAGAAGAAGAAGAAGAAGAAGAAGAAGAAGAAGAAGAAGAAGAAAGGAAGGAAGGAAGGAAGGAAGGAAGGAAGGAAGGAAGGAAGGAAGGAAGGAAGGAAAGAAAGGAAAAGGCCATTCCCTCTTATGTATTTTAAAAACACAAGTTAAAAAAAGTGTTGGCTATTATAATCAATGACAAGGCTAAAATATTCACAAAAGATATTTACAATATTGTTTCTTAAAATAATTGATTTCGCATAATGAACAGCGCTTTTTTCTTTTTTAAAACGAGAGAGAGAGAGAGGGAGAGAGGTGGGGAGAGAGGGGAGGAGAGAGAGAGAACTGGAGCAAAAGTAAAACGTAAGAACAGGTCTGCGTAAAATATTTTTTTAAAAGTTGGAAAAGAATAAAGGAACTAAAACTGCCATTTCCTGTTTAGCGACAGCAAGATGCTGTGGGTTAGCACATATCTATATATCTATATATATAAAAGGAGAGATATAGAGATATCTATATCTATGTGCATATATATCTCAATCTGCATATACAGCAGTGGCGGTAGAACAAATGCTCCAAGAATTTACAAGCCTGACTTCAGCGGAGAGAACAAACGCAGGATGGATGCACAGTTTTTCTTTTTTCATGCCATCATTGAGAAGATGATGACAGAATTTACACATGGAAACCAACAAGCCAGAGAATCCCTGGCCTAGATCTGACAGCCTTCTGTTGATTCTGGACAAGGAAGGGAGCAATTGTGATTTTTTTTAAGATGGAAGGGAGGGAGGAATTAGAGAGAGGAGAGGAAGGAAGGAAGAAAAGGAGATTTATTTATTTAGCCTATGTCAAGGGAAAGAAAAGAGAGGACGGGATGAAAAAGATTGAGGAGGGAGGGGGACGAGTTAGAGAGAGGAGAGGAAGGAAGGAAGGAAGGAAGGAAGGAAGGAAGGAAGGAAGGAAGGAAGGAAGGAAGGAAAAAGAGATTTATTTATTTAGTCTATGGCAAGGGAAAGGAGAAAGGGATGTAGGAGATTGAGGAAGGAAGAAGGCAGGGAGGGAAGGAAGGAAAGAGTCAGGAAGAGGAGAGGAAGGAAGGAATTAGAGAGAGGAAGGAAGGAAAAAGAGATTTATTTATTTAGCCAATAGCAAGGGAAAGGAGAAAGGGATGTAGGAGATTGAGGAAAGAAGAACGGAGGGAGGGAGGGAAGGAAGGAAGGAAGGAAGGAGTCAGGAAGAGGAGAGGCAGAAAGGAAGGAAAATTTATTTATTAAGCCTATGATAAAGGAAAGGAGAGGAAGTGACAAAGGAATTAGAGGAAGGAAGGAAGGAAGGAAGGAAAGGAAGGAAGGAAGGAAAGAAAGGAAAAGGCCATTCCCTCTTATGTATTTTAAAAACACAAGTTAAAAAAAGTCTTGGCTATTATAATCAATGACAAGACTAAAATATTCACAAAAGATATTTACAATATTGTTTCTTAAAATAATTGATTTCGCATAATGAACAGCGCTTTTTTTTTTTTTAAAACGAGAGAGATAGAGAGAGGGAGAGAGGTAGGAGAGAGAGGAGGAGAGAGAGAGAACTGGAGCAAAAGTAAAACGTAAGAACAGGTCTGCGTAAAATATTTTTTTAAAAGTTGGAAAAGAATAAAGGAACTAAAACTGCCATTTCCTGTTTAGCGACAGCAAGATGCTGTGGGTTAGCACATATCTATATATCTATATATATAAAAGGAGAGATATAGAGATATCTATATCTATGTGCATATATATCTCAATCTGCATATACAGCAGTGGCGGTAGAACAAATGCTCCAAGAATTTACAAGCCTGACTTCAGCGGAGAGAACAAACGCAGGATGGATGCACAGTTTTTCTTTTTTCATGCCATTCATTGAGAAGATGATGACAGAACTTACACATGGAAACCAACAAGCCAGAGAATCCCTGGCCTAGATCTGACAGCCTTCTGTTGATTCTGGACAAGGAAGGGAGCAATTGTGATTTTTTTAAGATGGAAGGGAGGGAGGAATTAGAGAGAGGAGAGGAAGGAAGGAAGGAAGAAAAGGAGATTTATTTATTTAGCCTATGGCAAGGGAAAGAAAAGAGAGGAAGGGATGAAAAAGATTGAGGAGGGAGGGAGGGACGAGTTAGAGAGAGGGAAGGAAGGAAGGAAGGAAGGAAGGAAGGAAGGAAGGAAGGAAGGAAAAAGAGATTTATTTAGTCTATGGCAAGGGAAAGGAGAAAGGGATGTAGGAGATTGAGGAAGGAAGAAGGCAGGGAGGGAAGGAAGGGAAGAGTCAGGAAGAGGAGAGGAAGGAAGGAATTAGAGAGAGGAAGGAAGGAAAAAAGAGATTTATTTATTTAGCCAATAGCAAGGGAAAGGAGAAAGGGATGTAGGAGATTGAGGAAAGAAGAAGGGAGGGAGGGAAGGAAGGAAGGAAGGAAGGAGTCAGGAAAGAGGAGAGGCAGAAAGGAAGGAAAATTTATTTATTAAGCCTATGACAAAGGAAAGGAGAGGAAGTGACAAAGGAATTAGAGGAAGGAAGGAAGGAAGGAAGGAAGGAAGGAAGGAAGGAAGGAAGGAAGGAAGGAAGGAAAGCAATATCTGTACACAGAAAGTAGATGTTGAAATGTTGGCCCGCGACAGAGCAGAGTTGGCACACATGCACTTTCTTAAACACATAGTTTACTGTACATAATTTATAAAAAGAGGACGACAGCACAAGAGTGGGCTCAGAAGTGACTGGAAGCTCATGCAGGAAGGAAGCAACTGAGGGAGAACCATAAATACAGTGAAGCATTCGGCATGGGAATTGGCAGGAAAATTGCAGCAGAATGACTTAATTTTTTCCTCGCGCCCAATATCCTTAGAAATCTACATTTAAAAAAAATGAAGAAGAAAGAAAGAAAGAAAGAAAGAAAGAAAGAAAGAAAGAAAGAAAGAAAGAAAGAGAAAAAAGAGGGAGAGGTGCTGTCAGGTAAAATGATAAAACACAAGATCAAAAGGATGAATGACAACACAGCCTGGAAAGCACTTAGGGTTATTTGGTGTTTCTCTGAATATAAACGCCTGTTTCAATTCCTCAAATCCTTGATTTGGATTAAGTGGACAGGGACATCTGGTCAGACAAAACAGTCAAGATTTTAGCTGTGATGTAATGGAAACCTACCACTTAAAAAAAACAACAACTTATTATCCTGCTTCCACCCTGTAGGGTCTAGGACCGTGATGGCAAACCTATGGCACGCGTGCCACAGGTAGCACGCTGAGCCATATCGGTGGGCATATGAGCGTTGTCTTAGCTCAGCTATGGTGCGCATGCATGAGCTGGCCAGCTGATTTTCAGGCCTTCTGGACCCACCGGAAGTCAGGAAACGGGCCGTTTCTGGCCTCCGGGAAGCTGAGGAAGGCCGTTTTCACCCTCCCCAGGCTTCTAGAAAAGCTCTGGAGCCTGGGGAGAGTGAAAAACAGGCCTTCAGGGCCCACCAGAAATTGGCAAAAAACGGTCCTACAGGCCCACCATGCCATCACGTGCCAAAAGCAAGGGGGAGCGCAGGGGGGGGGTCGCGTGCACATGTGCGGGGGGCAGGGCACATTGAATTACGGGTGTGGGCACACATGTGCATGACACACGCACCCCGCGCTCCCACCGCTTTTAGCACGTGATGGCCAACTCACTGCGAGACAATTCTCCACGGGACAAGAGTTACACTAATATCGAAGAAATGGTGGAACAGAATCATTAAAGGAAAAGATGCCCAAGGAGGGATAACATGAAATGTGAATGACAAAAAATTATAATTTTTTTTTTTAAAAAATTATTTTAAATGCTTCCAATTGAATTATTGAACGGTCCTGCAACAAGTTGTCCTGTGGTGGGTGGGTTGGCTGTGGTGAGTTGTCCCATTCCGCACCCTGCAGGTTAAAAAGGGAGTAGAGTTTCGATCACCTGGTTATGGTGGCCATCTTGACTTTGAACCTTTTCCGTCGCTTTGCTAGGTGGCCTTTATTTCCTGTCCCTTCCCCTTTCCTGTTTTCGGTAGGAACCGAGCATTTTTTTAAACTGCCCGAGTAAAGAAAAGAGAACGTTCTCACGGCTAATGTTTTGCAGGGTTTTCTTATTTCCTATGCAAAAAAAAAAAAGGTTCTCGCCTTTTTCCCATTTTTCTGTCCTTTTCCTTTTTTTTCCAGGGACTGGCCATTCAATTACCCAAAAAAGACAATCAATGGAGAGAAAGCGTTTATCGGAAAAAACAAAACAAAACACGAGACGTCGGACCACAACACGTTGTGTAAAGGGAAAGAGTTGTTCTGCCCACAAGAGTGATTAAATCAAATCAAAGATGCTACAATTGACTAGGAAAAAAACCCCCATGCTTGCCACAACTTGGAGATTTCACAGGACCATGGGGTGGGAGGAAAAGCCCCACTGTCTGATGTCTCCCTCTGACACGTGTTGTATGTGTACCATACTTGTGACATGACTGATTTCTTTGTGCTTTTTGGTATTTTTCGAGTTCCGAGTCTGAACTGTGCTGCCAACGGTTGTCCTTATTTCGTCCGACAGGTAGACTGGAATCTGCATAACTTGGAGAGGACCGAGTGGAACAGACATTACAGCCAAAGGAAGGAAACGCATGGATGGAAGAACACCGGTTGGAAAGACACTCTGAAACTGGTCAAGGATGGACCTGTTGCCCTTTGCTTTCTTTCCTTGCTGAGAGTGGCTGGGATGTTCCTTGCTAGATATCCCAACAAGTCATCCACTCTTTCGGTCTGCGAACCAGCCCGAAGAGTGTGAGGTTTTTTTCCCACAATGGTCTGGGATGTGGCCAGGCAGTCTAAGAGGTTAATCCTCAGATTGTCCTCTTGCTTCTCTTCACTGCCACCGCCCAAACGTGGGACTCAAGCAGGTCCGAGGTGAAGACGGGAAGGAGTGTGTGTGTGCTGCTGTAACGCTCGAGCGGCGAGCTTGACCTCGTGGGAAAGAGTTACTCGCGATTCCTCGCTGTGAAGCTACGGATGTGTCAAACGGGAGGAAGGTATGTTGGGAGTGAAATGAAGAAGGCTTCAGTTGTTCTCAAAAAGAGAGAGAAGGTCATCGTTGCTATTGCTTGGTAAGTCAGGAGGATCCAAATAGGAAAGTAACTCGTCGGGGTTTGTGAGCTCGGGAAGTAGCTACAACAGAAAGAGAAGACAGGTGGTGAAGCTCTTGTCAAGCGTGCAGGCATCCATGGCCCACGTCAGTTGGAAGATGCAACTTCTAAAGCATTGACAGAGACGCTCAATGCCACTAAATGACAATAGAACGTTGACCTGCCATGGAGCCTTCACTGACGGAAGCCAACCAGAAATGGCTCTTTGAGCATCTTTGTCTCTTGCACACAACCACATAATTTGTTCATGCACATAAAGAGCCTTCCATGGAAAATGCTAGCTGAGACCTTTCTCCCCAAATTGCATATTTAGGGAAACTCTTCATCAGAAGGACCTTTTGTATATTTACTCCCTCATGTCCATAAAACAGACGGCTGAAGTTGCACTTCAGACTTCTGCTCATCTGTTCTAAGATATGCCTTTTCTTAGGTATGTTCTAGTCTTCAACTAGGATTCATCTACCCAGTCTCAGAAATAAATGTGCTTGATAGACTAAGCTGGCAGTCAAAAATGTTTAGCAGTGGCCATCAGCGTTTTTTCAGTGCAACGGTCAGATTACCAGCAAATACAGTTACACACCCAGGTAACAAATCATATATATATAAATATTTCTACTATGGTTTTCTTAAAGCCAATGTCCTTTCCTAGTCGTATTCAGGCATGTTTAAACTCAAAATTTAGTGGGAGAAAGTCTTCAAAAAATTCAATTTTGCAAGGGTTCATCAATTAACAGAACAAATAAAGCCGAACACTGCTGTCTAATTAACTAATATCATGTAGCTTGTCTGATCCATTTTTTCAGGACATCCCACACTCTGGAGTTTGATGAAATGAAACGTGAGGCTTCCTGAATGAAAACACTGTTAAGTGTTTGATTTTGCCAGCATCAGAAGTATAAAAAATTACATTACACCGTTTTCCCTTCCAAATGCCACAGATATTTGTCACAGTTTAGATAGCTTGAACAATCTTATCTGAACGCACAGATGTGAACTGAAAGAGTGGTGTTTACTTACATGGGTGCTTCCATTCACATGTTTTGAATAATTTCCCCTCCTAAAACGTCTTGTATGTTAACTTTTTTTACCCCCAACTCTTCGGCTAATTATTTATGGGGGAAAAAACCCATCCACACTCTTTGCTTACAAATAATTTTGCCCCAGCTCATCACAAGGACGAGTGACTTTCATCCACGCCAAATTATGATACGACTGCATCTTAGCAAGCACAGACAAATAATAAACCTGCCTTAGAGTTAACGTAACTCTTAATAACTTTATGAACATGTCCATGTAGTTGCTTTGAATGCTACATTGCCTTTCCCCCCCTCCATGATGTCTTTCTCCCAGTTTCCTAGCTTGTAGTTCTGGAATTTCCCAGGGCTCTATCTGAGGCCGGAAAGAGTCTAACTTACTCGATATTTTTTTTCCAGATCAGCCTGAAAGAAAACTGGCCGGTCAAATCTAAAGTTAACTATATGCTGCCACCTAGCTGGACATAGCAAACATTACACAACATTAAATATACTAGCTGCAGGAGTAAAGGTAAAGGTTCCTGTCACACATACGTGCTAATCGTTCCCGACTCGGGGTGGTGCTCATCTCTGTTTCAAAGCTAAAGAGCCAGCGCTGTGAGATTTGAACTGCTGAACTGCAGCTAGCAGTAAGCTGAAGGAAGTAGCCTGCAGTATTGCACTCTAACCACTGTGCCACCTCGTCTCTTAAATGTTTTCCCTATCCAGTTGTCTTCAACTGGTGTTTATCTCTGCTTCCTCGCCGAGGGAGCCTGTGTTGTCCAAGACACTTCCGTGGTCATTTGCCCGGCCTGTGACTATACACCAAGTTGCATGGAATGCTGTTACCTTTCCACCAAAGTGGTACCTATTAATCTACTTGCGTTTGCATGTTTTTGAACTGCTAGGTGAGCAGGAGCTGGAGCAATGAATGGGAACTCACCCCATCGCGCAGCATACGGGTCTCAAACCCAGGCTGTCAGCTTTCAGCATCTTTAACTGCTGAGCAACCACATCCCTTTAAGACCAATAGGATGAGTTCACAGCTTCGTGTCCTAGTTCACGTCTCTTTAAAGTCCAATCCTTCATCTTTGAACAATTGGTGCATCTGCACAGAAGGTATTTTTTTAAAAAAACAATTGTGACATTATCTATTTTGGATTCTTTGATAAATATATTACGTCTATGCTGAGTTATATGGCAGGAGAGTTACGTTGGGGCATGCAGAAGATCCGGTTGTTACCCCATTATGATGGTTGGAATTAATAATCTTGAAGAAAGCCACTTCTACAGATATTATATGGAATACAATTATAATGTCACTCGGGTGGTTGTTTTCTTTTTTTTATATATATACATGAAGATATTTATTACTGATGGGGGCAGATGATAACTGAGGATTCTGAACATTCTGTTGGAATTAGGATGCTATGTTACCCTAATATGGGTGATGGAGTTACAATCCAGTTGAAAGACATTAAAGAAGACATTATATGGATTACAAGCTTAAAGTCATTGATTTTATCTATATAAGGGAATATTTTTTTAGTAGGGTGGGCAGAAGAATAAAGATATTAAGAATTGTTATGTATGGAAATTTTGTAGGAAAGTGGGTGGTGACAGGCTAGTTTATTGATCTATGAGTTGAATAAATGTTAAATTAGGATTTATTATATAGTTTTACAGTGGAAAGCTGCTTTGAAATGTTATATTAATATATACAAAAGATTAAATGTTAAATTAGGATTTATTATATAGTCTTAAAGTGGAAGGTTGTTTTGAAATGATATATTAATATACATAAAAGGTTTGATTTAAGAGATACATGTATGGGGAGGAGAAAAAGGGCAGATTATTGCTAAATTGGGAGTTATAATAATATTACTATGCTAAACCAGAAGTTATTATACAATGTTATAGTAGAATGTTATTTTGAAATGTATAGTAAAAGGGGGATATAATAATATTATTAGAAAGAAAGGGTCAGTATTTGGGGGATGGAGTATGGGGAGAGTAAAGTATTATATAATCTGTCATGAATTTGGATTTTACTTGGAGGAAGTCATAGGGGGAGGGGTGGCGAGGGGGGGTTAGGGAGGAGGGGGGGGAAGGGGGAAAATTTGTATTTGAAAAACTTTTTCAATAAAAAAAAACAATTGTGGCTTCCTTACATTCTTCTTTTGCTATGGGCTGCGTTCGCAAGAATTAAGTCAATAAAACGAACAAGGGCTTAACCTTGTTGGCTTCTTGTCACTCTGCCAGTCTAATTCCTTAGTTTGAAATTCAGATAAAAGATTGCAACTTTAGTGAAGCTTTATTAAGCTGAGCTGATTAACTTCAGGCCTAGCAGGTAGATTGGGAAGCAGTGAAAATATCCTGAAATAAGACAATGTTAAACAATTTCCATTACTGTTATCAAGAAAGCTACATGAATATGTTCATATATGCAACAAGAGTTGAGCTGCTCTATCTGCACTAAGGTTTAAAGAAGAACCGTGTTATGGACCTCAAAATGCCTCTATAGAGGACAGAAGACACTTCTGAATATGGTAGGTGATAGAGGAGAAATAACCCAAAAATCAGATTCATGTCCTTCTATCAATATAAACCCCTCTAAGAACAGAAGAAGGGACGTAGTGGCTCAGTGGCTAAGACTCTAAGACGCTAAGCTTGTCTATTGAAAGGTTGGCAGTTCAGCGGTTTGAATCCCTAGTGCCACGTAATGGGGTGAGCTCCCGTTACTTGTCCCAGCTTCTGCCAACCTAGCACTTCGAAAGCACATAAAAAATGCAAGTAGAAAAATAGGGACCACCTTCGGTGGGAAGGTAACAGCGCTCTGTGTACCTTCAGCGTTTAGTCATGCCGGCCACATGACCATAGAGACGTCTTTGGACAGCGTTGGCTCTTCGTCTTTGAAACGGAAATGAGCACCGCCCCCTAGAGTCGGGAACGACTAGCACATATGTGCGAAGGGAACCTTTACCTTTACCTTTAAGAACAGAAGAATGTTATCAGTATCACATTATCTCAAAGGTGCTTTTCCAAAAGGCAACTGGACTTCCTTGATTTTTTTCTCTTGAAAATATGTTGCTTCTCATCCAAGAAGCTTCTTCAGTTTAAAAAAAAAAAAAACAACAACCCCAAGGAAGTCCAGTTGCCTTTTGGAAAAGCACTTATGGAACAACGGTGACCTGGATGAATGAGAATCTCCACCGATGTTATCAAGAAGTTATCTTTCAGACCTGTTAATCAATCAGAGATTTTATAACAAGCCACAATTTCCATTGGCCTGAGGTCATGTCCCTGAAGTTTATTGCCAGAGAGGAAATGAGGAGCAAGCACAGAATGGATTTGAATTTCATGCATATCAGCTCTTCTTAACTTCCCTGTCCAGTTCTCAATTGTCTATGCATTCGTAATATTGTTTTAACAATATTTAACAGATATTTTCTGTCGCAGCATGGTAGATGGGACCACAAATTAACCCAAACAGGCTTGGCTTGCCCCAGCTAATTCCTAACCAATATGTGGGTGTAGACTATGTAAGCCAGGGCTCTCTAACCTTTGCAACTTCATGACTTGAGGACTTCAACTCCCAGAATTGCTCAGCCAGCATTGCAATAGCACTTAGACTTATATACCACTTCACAGTGCTTTACAACCTTCTCTAAGTGGTTTACAGAGTCAGTCTCTTGCCCCCAACAATCTGGGTCCTCATTTTACCCACCTCGGAAGGATGGAAAGTCAACCTTGAGCCTGGTGAGATTCGATCTGCCAAATTGCAGGCAGCCGGCAGTCAGCAGAAGTAGCCTGCAGTACTGCACTCTAACCACTGCGGCTCATAGCTGACATAGCATAGCTGGCTGAGGAATTCTGGGAATTGAAGTCCACAAATCAGCCAAAGTTGGAGACCCCTGATGGTAAGAGGTATCCTTCCTTCCATCTTTTCTGACCTCGAATGCACTGTGAAGGGAAGCAGATGACAGAATGACACAGACTTACATCCAGCGAAGGTTCCGGCATGTCAGATGTCCCCTGCCCACCAGGTTGAGCTTCTAAAGCTGTCGAGGGGTTAAAAGCCATATCGGTGTGAGGATGGTTGCTAGAAGCGGCCTGGGTCGGCTGCCGGGATGGCTGAGTCGGGGGACCACTGTGATGTAATGGCTGCCCTGACTGGCTGCTGGGATGAGGGACGTGCAAACCTTGAGGCATGGAGCTATGGGATTGATCAGTGTTGCCAGGATGAGGGATCTGCAGAAGGAGGAAAGAAGCAGGAAAGGAGACATGAGGAGATGAGGTGGCAAGCTGGGAAGATGGGGAGAGCATGGTGCGGGGGGGGGGGGGAGGATTGTTTCATAAACCATCATCGCTACAAGCCGTCATCATCAAGGAGAAATCCGTTAGGGCACTCCGCCTGTCACTGAACCCACGGCCTTCAAAACACAATTTTTTAGAAAAATACTTGGAATAAGAAATGGTGGTTCTATTGGGTTGTATAGTCCAGATCCAACCTCATGCCTTGAAAATTTGCAGTAATTAGGAAAGTTGAAACTTCTTTCGTTTTTCTAATCCCAAAGATGCTTTTTTCCAAGAGGCAACTGGGCTTTCTTTGTTTTTCTTTTTTTTAAAAAAAATAATCTTTATTTACATTTTCCATTAAAAACAAAAAAAAGAACAACACATCATATAAATAACAAACAAGACAACACAACACCAACAACAACAAAAAAAAGCATGCATACCTATAAGCAGTACCTTAATAACCTAGTATTCGGTACTGTATATCTATATTATAATCTGGAGAAGACAGAACATCTTGCATATCTTTATAAAACAATTAGGTCTATCCGACCTCACTTTACTTGTATAATATAAGTTTCTCAATAGATATAATTCCTCATCTAATTTGGGTTATATTTTCCTCTTCTCTAGCCACCTATAGAATTTTTCCCAAGATAAACATATTTGTGTTTGGTCTCTGTCTTTTAATTTTTTGGTCAATTTATCTGCTTCCGTACAGTCTAAAATCTTCTTTATAATAGCTTCCTCTGATGGGATATTTTGATTTTTCCAAAGTTGAGAATACGCCAATCTCGCCGCTGTGATGATGTGTAATGCAAGATACCATAAGTCTCTTTTAATACTTTCCAGTTTGGAGCCTAGCAGGCATGTCTCTGGTCGCCATTCGATCTTTTGATTTAAAATCTCATTCAGCCATTTTTTTTTATTTCCCCCCAGAATTCTACTGCTTTCAGGCACGTCCATCACTGATGGTAATAGGTGCCATGCTCAAACCCACATTTCCAGCATTCCGCAGACTGTCCAGTGACTGAGTGAGTCAGAACTGAAGAAGCTTCTTGGATGAGAAGCGAAACGTCTTCAAGGAAAAACGAAGAAAATCCAGTTGCCTTTTGAAAAAAGCATCTTTGGGGCAACCATGACCTGGATGATTAAAAATCTCCACAAACATGTAAGTTTTCTAGTATGTTAACTTCTAGTTAACTCTCTAGTATGTTGACTTCTTTAACTTTTCTGGTATGAATTTTAATAAACTGAGCACAACGTTCTGTGTTTTTCTTTGGGGCAAAATACTTTCCAACTAAACAAAGATACATCAGAAAATCACCTATTGATAGTTTAGTTGCATGGTGCAAGGAATAAAAAGAAATGAGAAAATTAATATTTCAATTATTATTATTATTATTATTATTATTATTATTATTATTATTATTATTTAAAAAAAAACTCTCTCCAATTGTTCTTTACTGTTCTGCATATAGACATACACTCATTCTCTCTCTGTGTGTGTTTGCTTGTTGATGGACTTTCTTTTTACACAGATCTTCCTTCATTGCAGACTATAATGACTGAGGAATAACAGAATTGGAAGGGACCTTGGAGGTCTTCTAGTCAACTCCCTCTCAAGCAGGAAACCCTATACTATTTCAGACAAATTGCTGTCCAGTCTCTTCTTAAAAGCCTCCAGTAATGGAGCACCCACAACTTCTGAAGGCAAGTTGTTCTACTGGTCAATTGTCCTCAGTGTCAGGAAATTTCTCCTTAGTTCTAGGTTGCTTCTCTCTTTGGTTAGCTTCCAACCGTTGTTTCTTGTCCAGCCTTCATGTTTTTGGAGAATAGGGTGACCTCCACTTCTTTGTGGCACCCTCTCAAATATTGGAAGACAGCTATCATGTTGCCCCTATTCTTTCTTTTCATTTAACTACGCAAACCCAGTTCCTGCAGTCGTTCTTCAGATGTTTTATCCTCTAGTCCCCTCATCATCTTTGTTGCTCTTCTTCTCACTCTTTCTAGAGTCTCCACATCTTTTTTATATTGGGGGGACCAAAACTGGGTGCAGCATTCCAAATGTGGGTTTACCAAGGTTTTATATGTATGAATTAAAAAAAAAGAGGTGTCTTTTAAACTCACCTGTATATATAGTTGCAAACCCCATGCACAAACATAAGGACACAAAAGGAAGTGCACAAACATATAGAACTATTTTCATGTATGTAGTCACAGCACATCATATGTCAACCAGCTCAATTTTCTTCAACTTTAGACATCTAGAAGGAAACCATTTGTGCTCTCGCTTATGCTGGCATCGTACTCTTTGAAGACTGAAGGGAAGGGAAGGGAAGGGAAGGAGGGAGAAGGAGGAAGAAAAAGAAAGGGAATCAAGGGGAAGGGAAGGGAAGGAGAAGGGAGGAAAGGGAGAAAGAAAGGAGGGGGAAGGGAGGGAGGGAGGAAAGGGAGGGAGGAAGGGAAGGAAAAGAGTAGGTAAGGAAAAGAGGAGGGAGGAGAATAAGGAAGGAAGGAAAGGAGGGGGAGGGAGAAAAGTGAGGGAGGGAGGAAGGGAAGGGAAGGAGGGAAGAGAAGGAAGAAGTAAGGAGGAAGGAAAGAAGGGAAAGGGAAGGAAAGGGAAAGAAAGGAAAGGACAGAGGAAGGAAGGAAGGGAAGGAGGAGGGAGGGAGAAGGAGGAAAGGGAGGGAGGGAGGAAAGGGAGGGAGGAACGGAAGGGAAAGGAAGAAGGGAGGAGAAGGAAGAAGGAAGGAAGGAAAGAAGGGAAAGGGAAGGAAAGGGAAAGAAAGGAAAGGAGGAGGAAGGAAGGAAGGAGGGGGAGGGAGGAAAGGGATGGAGGAAGGGAGGAAGGGGAGGGAAGGAGGGAGGGAGGAAAGGAAGGGAGGGGAAGAAAAAGAGAAGGGAGAAGAAGGAAGGAAGGAAAGAAAGGAGGGAAGGAAGAAAGAGGCGAATTGCCCCCATTTCTTAGTATCTGGTTAATCTCAGTCCTTATAAAGTGTGTGAAATGAAGCTGAATGTCGGCTCAAGTTCATTTTTTTTTTGCAGACAGTGCTATTTTTCAGCCTCAGCATCAATTGCATTATGGCAGGCGCTGCAGACCGCTTCATCTTACCGTAGCCAAGAGACATTAAAAATGATTTATGAAAAAGGCTAAAGTAATGGCTTCTGGGAGAGACCTCATATGGGGAAGTGGATCTTAAATAATCACAAGCCAGGGCAGCTTTCTTCTTTCAAAGGGGTTAAGTGTATTTTTCTTTCGGAAAAGGATTTACCTCCTTCTGGGTTTCTGAATGTGTGCATATCGTGGCAGCTGAACGTTAAGCTTGCAATGTTCTATAAAGGAAATCTGAAAATAAGCAACCCCAAAAATGGGATTTTTTTGGGGGGGGAGGTTTTATTTATTTCAGAAACAAAATAAATCCGTGTGAAAAATGTATTAGTATTAAAAAGTAATGATGCCTTTAGATCAGTGGTGGAATTCCAATTTTTTTACTACCGGTTCTCTGGGTGTGGCTTGGTGGGCATGGCAGGAGAAGGATATTGCAAAATCTCCATTCCCACCCCACTCCAGGGGAAGGATACTGCAAAATCCCCATTCCCATCCATTAAAAAGAGCTGAGGTGGTGCAGTGGTTAGAGTGCTGTACTGCAACTACTTCAGCAGATCAGCGGATCAAATCTCACCGGCTCAAGGTTGACTCAGTCTTCCATCCTTCCGAGGTAGGTAAAATGGGGACCCAGATTGTTGGGGGCAATATGCTATTTAGTATACTGTCTTTGTTGTAAGCCGCCCAGAGTCCTCGGAGAGTGGGCGGCATAGAAATACGAATAATAAATAAATAAATAAATAAATAAATAAATAAATAAATAAATAAATAAAATCCCCATTCCCTCTCCACTCCTGGGGGAAGGATATTGCAAAATCTCCATTCCCACCCCACTCCAGAAGGGTAACTGCAAAATCCCCATTCCCTCTCCACTCCTGGGGGAAGGATATTGCAAAAGCTCCATTCCCTCCACACTCCGGGGGAAGGATACCGCAAAATCCCCATTCTCTCTCCACTCCTGGGGGAAGGATATTGCAAAATCTACATTCCCATCCACTCTGAGGCCAGCCAGAGGTGGTATTTGCCGGTTCTCCGAACTACTCAAAATTTCCGCTACTGGTTCTCCAGAACCTGTCAGAACCTGCTGAATAGCACCCCTGCATTAGATTTGATAGCTGGTTGCTTTTGGTGACAGGAACTGCACCAACTAGGAACATGTAAAGCTAACCAGTTTGAGGTGGAATGTCCTGGAGAACTTTGGCCTGAAGGTGCTCTTCTAAAAGTCAACTGGACTTTCTTGGGTGTTTTTTTTTTTCCTGGAAAACATTTCCCTTTGGTCAGTTCTGCTGTTTCCCGAAGAAAATTCTTCAAACCCAAAGGAGTTTGAAGCAGGGGTGAAATGCTACCGATTCGCACGAACTGGTAGTAAAAAAAAAAAAAGCTACCGGTTCTGTCAAACCTGTCGTTTAAAAAAGCTACCGGTTCCTCTGAACCGGTATTTCAGATAATCAGCTGTGCAGCGGGGTTTAGCTTTGCTAGAAAGCAGGAAATCCTGTTTTCTAGCAAAGCCAAATTGTGCACCACAGCTGATTCCCCCCCTCGCTGTTCTACTTACCTTCCCAAGCCTCCTTTTGATGTGTACTGCGCATGCATGCCGCATGCGCCTAAAGGAAGCTTGGATAGGTAAGTAGAACAGCAGGGGGGGATCAGCTGTGCAGCGGGTTTAGCTTTGCTAGAAAGCAGGAAATCCTGTTTTCTAGCAAAGCTAAATCGCGCACCAAGCTGAACCCCCCTCGCTTCTACTTACCTTCCCAAGCCTTTTAATGCGTACTGCGCATGCCCGTGCACAGTGCACGTTTGGTGCCGAGTGCGCATGCGCAGCCAGCAAACCGGTTTGGATTTCACCACTGGTTTGAAGTATCTGAGGCATGGTTTGGCATTTTAGTTGACATAGACTTATTTCAAGGGTGAGACCACGAAATTCCCCTAGAACGCCATGGTCTAGAAAAGAGTTAGCCTGGCATGGAGGAGGAATGGAACAGAAGCTCTCAAGATACATCTTTGGGTGAGGGAAATCGTTGGGGTCTCGTGCGTGTGGTCAGAACGCAAGTGAGTTGAATTCAGCCAAAGTGTGTGAGATATATCGGGCTCGTTTGTTTTCATGAAATGCACAACTCCACTCTTATTATTGCTTAAGAGTGAACTGATTTAAGAAAAGGGGAAGTAGATTTCCGTTTCGCAACAGTACCTCCCGCTCCAGATGTCTTCATGTAAGACATCAGTGGAACAAACTTATGCAACTACAGATCGTTTAGGGACTGCTCAAAGTGACAACGGCACTGAAAAAAAGTGTCTTATGACCGTTTTTCACACTTATGCCCATTGCAGCATCCCCGTGGTCAAATGATCAAAATTCAGACACTTGGCAAATGTGTCCTGTTTATGATGGTTGCAGTGTCCTGGGGTCTTTTGTCTGAAATGGAAGTCTTGGAGGTCTTCTAGTCCAACCCTCTGCTCAAGCAGGAGACCCTAGACCCGTGATGGCAAACACAGGTCACACGCATAGCAGTATTGGTGGGCACACGAACTCAGCTCCAGGGCGAATGCGCATGCCAGCCAGCTGATTTTCGGGCCTTCTAGGCCCACCTGCAATAGGGAAACAGGCTACTTCCTACCTCCTGAGGGCTTGGCGGGGGTGGGGGAAGGTCTGTTTTTTGCTCTCCTCATGCTCCAGAGCCTTTCTAGGAGTCTTGGGAGGACCAAAATGGCCTCTCTCTCCACCCCCAGATGCCCTCTGGAGGCAGAAAACAGCCCCTTTGTCAACTTCCGGTCCCACAGGAAGTTGGCAAATGGGCCATTTTGGGCCTCCAGAGGGCCTCCGAGGGGGTGGGGAAGGCCATTTTCGCCCCCCCCCAGGCTCCTAGAAAGGCTCTGAAGCCTGATGAGAGCAAAAAACTGGCCTACTGGTCCCACCGTGCCAAAAGCGGGGGGGGGGGGGGGTGCGGGGGGGTCTTATATGCGCATGTGTAGGGGTGGGGCACATATAATTATGGGTGTGGGCATGTCCATGACCCCCTGCGCTCCCCTGTTTTTGCCACGCGATGGCAAAAAGGGTTGCCATCACTGCCCTAGCCAATCTCAGACAAATGGCTCTCTAGTCTCTTCTTCAAAACCTCCAGTGATGGAGCACCCACAACTTCTGGAGGCAAGTCATTCCACCGGTTACTAGTTCTAATTGCAATGGTCATAAGTGCAAAGATCGGTTGTAACTCACTTTTTTCAGGGCCATTTAAACTTCTGATAGTCACTAAACAAATGGTTGTAAGCCAGGAACTACATGAATATGTTGGAGATATGGAAAGGCAAATAACTTTTTTTTTTCCATTGGGGAAATCAAATTCTTCTTTTCATTCAGCGGGATACTTTGCAATGATCATCACCCCAAAATATCCAAGCGGGTTTTTGTTGGGCCTCGGTGACACTTGGAAAAATAAAAATAAAGTTAAAAATGTGCCAGGCCAAAAGAGAAAATATGGAATCTGTTGTCCATGTATTGTTTTTGTTAATGGCTGGAAAGATACATACGTTTTCTTGGTTATCACTCCTAAAGGACTGTTGAGGGAGATCAACAATTATTATGGACTCTATTTAGAAGTGAGTGATGCCGTAACATTAAATGCGTTTTGGCAAATAGCATACAAGGTCTAATAAAAGGCAGTTTTATTTAGCTGAGGAACAGATGAGGAGTGTAGACAGTACAGCGACTGCAATCTCTGAAACCACTTCAATCATGTCCTTGTATCAATTTTTGTCTTCTTATGTGACTTCAGCTGCCAAGTTAAATAGCTCCTAATATAATAAAAGCTTGATTTAATGGAGCTTCATTTCACGTACTTTGGATGCGGCAGGCAAATTTGAGCACTTGAGAAGATCACCAAGAAGACACTGAGACAACTGGAGAGTGGTCATATTGAATCATAGCAATGGCACTTAGACTTATATACCGCTTTACAGTATTTTTACAGCCCTCTCTAAGAGGTTTATAGAGTCAGCCTATTGCCCCCGAACAATCTGCGTCCTCATTTTACCGACCTTGGAAGGATGGAAGTCGGAGTCAATCTTGAGCCGGTCAGGATCGAACTCTAGGCAGGCTGCAGAGTCAGCCTGCAATACTGCATACTAACCACTGTGCCACCAGGGTTCCAGTTATGACATTGGCATTGTCATGAATGGAAGAGAAAACGCAAAGAAAAATGTTTTTCTTAGTCTGTTTACAATACAGTGAGGCACTATTTGACTCTTCGGAGAAGAAAAAAAACTTTTTTCATTGTACACATGTTGTGCATTGACAATAAAGATTTGATTTGATTTAATCTTTCTTCATGACCTAGTTCCTACACAGCATTGAAGGAAGGCAGGGGACAATATGGTGGCTAAAAAGCTGAAAACCTCCCCCCCAACCTTAAAAGAGCCAGTGGGGGCATCTACCTATTTTGACATAATTCTATGGGCCCCACCCCTGCGCATGCATGCATGATCCCCCCTCCCCCCCTCTCCTGGCACACGATGGCCCAGTAGGCCCGTTTTTCTCTCTCACCTGGCTCCAGAGCCTTTCTAGGAGTCTGGGTGTGGGGGGGGCAAAAACAGCCTCCCCCCCCTCACAGGTCCTCTGGAGGCCAAAAATGGCCCATTTGCCAACTTCCAGGCTGTTTTCGCCCTCCCCAGGCTCCTAGAAAGGTTCTGGAGCTAGGTGAGAGAGAAAAACGGGCCTCCCCACCCTCCCCAAGGCCCTCCGGAGGCAGGAAACAACCTGTTTCCCTACTTCTGGTGGGCCCAGAAGGCCCAAAAATCAGCTGGCCGGCACACGAGCTGAGCTCGCTTGCCCAATGATATGGCTATGCATGCCACCTGTGGCACGCGTGCCATAGGTTCTCCATCACGGACCTATAAGATATATGTGTGTGTGTGTGTGTGTTGGTGTAAACTGCAGAGAGTCACGTAGGCAAGATGGGTGGAGTAGAAATGTAATAAATATGTAAAAGTACAATAAATGAGAGATAGCATTTGTTCCTTGGACTGAAGGTGAGCAAGAACCCGTGTCCCCATGTTGGTCCTGCACCTTAACCACGACCCTGTAGAAAACACCTCTTTTGGGACAACTCATGGAAATAGGGAAGTTGTGGCATCTGTGTGATTGCTCCATCACACAAGATTCATCACTGGTGCTCACGGACACGCATGGACCAGACTGTTTCCTAGTGTCTTGGGTGGCTACTGCAGAAGAAATAGGAGCTGGTCATCTAATCTCTGTCCCAAAATGTTTTCAAGGAACAAGAAACCAAAAAAAGTCCTGTTGCCTCTTGGAAAAAGCACCTTTGGGACAACCATGACCTGGATGACTATATACCTCTGATCTCTGCTTTATTTCCCAGGCATTGCCTTGTAAAGATGAAGCTATACATCTTTTACGAACTCACTTTCTTTTCTTTTTCCTGCTGCCCCAGTTTTTTTTTTTTTTAAGGTTTCCTTTTACTTTGCTTACTGTGTATTTCCCAATTATGCATACCGCCTGTGGACAGAAGGTCATATGAGCAAGGTAAATAAGTAAGATCCTTACAGGTTCCTGCATGGGATGACTTAAGGGTTTATCAAGCGCTGCCATGTTGCTGGCCATATCCGGTGGGTGTGACAACTGGGGACCATGCATGAAGTCGTTCATAGATGTCCCACCGGGATTCCCGTGGGGAAAATCAAAATTGCTGTGGCCTTGGTAACTGTTACCTAAATAGTAAAGAAAAGTATAGTAAGAATAGTAAAGTTGGAATCAAAATCAAACCAATGAGCCCAGGTCCCATTTCTTCTTCTTCAGGGTCTAGATCAAACTTTAAACTGCCAGAATGAAGCCACCTTCTTGGATTGTCGCTGGCCCAAAATAAATCCTTCTCGGTACATGTTTCTGGTAGTAGCTGACATTCCAGCAGATGAGCTGGGCTCTGACTTTCTCCATATTCAGACTGCATGTTGTTATCTATTAAGAGTCTCCACTTGGGCATATGGTCCCAATGAGACCATCATCTTCTATAAAAGTTGCAATAATTAAGAGACTTCTATCCTACTGCAAAAGGGAGTGAGGGAGTGAGGAAGGAAGGAAGGAAGGAAGGAAGGGAGGGAGGAAGGAAGGAAGGAAGATTTCTGATGACCCATAATAATAGTCAATGGGGAAGCCAGCAGGAAGTCAGAAGTTGTTTTCTTGCCAACTGTGATAATTCTGTCTCTCTGTTTAAATAACAAAAGATCTCTGAAACAATGAGGCATGGATTGCCTAGGATTCTAGGAAAGTTGCAATAATAAGTCCCTTCCATCCCACTGCTTCCATGCCTTGGTTCATACTGCATGTATTCAGAACTGGCCTTATTATTTCATTGACTAGGTACCAATCCCATTAGTTCATCTTAATGATACAATATGAGGTAATATTTTTTTTTAAAAAAAAGTAATATTCCCAACATAAAAACATAAGACTTCCTTTCAGTATCTCTTTCTTCAAAAAGAAATACAACAATAACAACAACAAAAAGATACTGGCTCTAGAAATCATAGGACTGAGACACAAAACCATGATTAGTCTATGTTCTATTGCAAGAAATGGATTGAAGTAAGGGTTATGAAGGGTTATGAAGAACATGTGCTCACACAGAAGTGAAAACTGATATCTCAGAAGAAGCATCAAAGTAAACTGAATTCAGTGTTCAACAACCAACATGAAGTCCACATAATCCACAAATCCTTAGTGTGGTTTGTTTGCCTCTAGTTTAGCATTTTGGCAATCAACTGTAGTTTATTCAACAAACCATTGGTTGAACAAGCTTGGGTTTAGAACCTTGTCCATATTTTGGATTGAGACAAGGAAGGAAGAGAGCTGATTGCTCCTCAACTTCAACTGTGTTCATTTGAAAGAGAGGGGACAGTTAGGACTTGGGACTTGAAAGAATAGCAGGGGAGGGCACTGGTGAGACTTCCTTGGGAAGTGGAGAGATAGTAAAGAAGCTCTTTGCTCGGACATTTGTTTCAGGGTCCCTGCCATGGAGAACTGCAAGCCAGCAACCTGAAATGAAGATGTCACTGGGAAAGACAGCTGGAAAATCAGTTTTAAATGGCTGACCTGCCCTTGAGCATTGTGACTGAATTTGCTAACACAGTTCTCAAGAGATTAACACTGCATCTGCTTACTTGTTCACAAAACGCTTGATGGCCAAATCTGTTGGTTTCCCTTAAAACCCTGATAAAAGTTGGCCTATTTTGTTAAAGGATTTCCTCTTTAAATAACCTTTCTTGCCAGCTGTTACCTTGTCTGGGATTGGAAGTTAGTTTAAAGGAGTTTTTGGCATGGAGACCACCGAAAAATTCCAGGGAAAGTTATACGGATTGATGAATTGGAGGGACGAACAAAATGGCAAGAAAACTACTTGGATAGAAATGGGGGGAAATATTTGTAGCTCGAGTGGTAGATGTTGCTGTTGGTTTGTTCTCTGAGATTGTTGTTTAGTTTCCGAATGTTTTGTCACCAGGCTAGGTAACATTTTCAGTGGAATTGCAGTTGAAGTTTCTAATTTGAATTCCCTTCTGGTTTTATAAATCTTATGTCAGGGGTGTCAAACTCAATTTCATTGAGGGCTGCATCAGGGCTGTGTTTGACCTGGGGGGGCATGCCCGGGGTGGCCGTGGGCAGGGTGGGCAGGGCCAGCTCGATGTCACTCATTGAGGCTCTGTTTTAGGCCACAACGGCCTCCTGCAGCCCTCTGTCAGTGAAAATGGAGCTTGGGGAGGCCGTGTGCAACCTTCCTGGGCTCCATTTTTGCTGGCAGAGGGCTGCAGGAGGCCGTCATGGCTGAAAATGGAGCCATGGCAGGCTGAGCACAGTCCTCCCAAGCTCCGGTTTTGCTGGCAGAGGCACTGTGGGACGGTCATTAGCTGTTTCCAGGGCAACATCATGGGCCCAATCTGGCCCCTGGGCTTTGAGTTTGACACCCCTGTCTTATGTGGTCAGATGGTCACTTTACTGACTGATCACCACCAGGTGGCCCTCATGTGGCATGACCAGTCGGTCACATGACCAAGTGAGCACATAAGACCTATCAAAGCAGAAGAGAACGCGAATAAGACACTTCAACCGAAGTTCTGCTGCTGATGTTACCTAGGCCAGTGACAAAACATTCAGAAACTAAACAACAAGCTCAGAGAACAAACCACCACCAGTGACTAGGATATTCCAGGAGTTTAGTTCGACTCAGAGGAGACTTTATTTTATTTACTCTAGAACAGAGGTCAGCAACCCACAGCTCTGGAGCTGCATGTGGCTCTTTCATCCCTCTGTTACGGCTCCCTGTCACTCAAAATATGCGTCACAACTACCAATGTGTGACACCCGCCGGCACATGATTTAATTGAGTTTTTCAACCCCCGGTAGGCCAACCATAGATAAATCCAAGAAAAGAAAAGTTTCAGAAGAAAACAGAACATTTGATTCAACTACATATGCTAGTTCTGTGGCTGCTCAGGAAATAGGCACAGGAAGGATTTTGTGCTCCCGGTGTTTTCTTTTCTGTCAGAAACGGGTCCAAATGGCTCTTTGAGTGTTTAAGGTTGCTGACCCCTGCCCTAGAATTTCCACAAAAAATAAATCATGGATTGTCATTCCCAGCTCTGCACAGCCTCACACAAAAACATGTCAATTGCAAAGCAAGTATGAATTTCTGGTAGACAACAACCTGTCTTCCACCTCTCTTGTCATTATGGTTGAGGGCACGATATTTATGCTGCGTACATTAAAATGAATTTATCTGCTTCTTGGGTTTTGAGGTCACCAAAGATGCTGGGTAGCTTAAAATAAATATACATAAGACACATCTGGTTGTTGTTGTTGTTTTTTAAGAAATATGCATAAGGAAACTTCATATAGGTCAAGCTAGCTCACTGGACCTCCCCTAAGGATCAAGAAATTAGCAGAGATATACCAGCAAAATATTCTGGCTCTCTCAATTCCTGGCAAATAGATAGGGAAGAAATGGAGGTAGTGACAGATTTTATTTTCTTGGGCTCCAAGATCACTGCAGATGGGGACTGCAGCCAAGAAATTAAAAGATGCTTGCTCCTGAGGAGAAAAGCTATGGCAAATCTAGACAGCATACTAAAAAGCAGAGACATTACCCTACCAACAAAAGTGCACATAGTCAAGGCTATGGTTTTCCCAGTTGGATGTGAAAGTTGGACGGTAAGAAAGGCTGAGCGCCAAAGAATTGAGGCCTTTGAACTCTGGTGCTGGAGAAGACTCCTGGGAGTCCCTTGGACTGCAAGGCGATCAAACTGGTCAGTCCTAGAAATCAACCCTGACTGCTCTTTAGAAGGCCAGATCCTGAAGATGAAACTGAAATACTTTGGCCACTTAATGAGAAGGAAGGACTCACTGGAGAAGAGCCTAATGCTGGGAAAGATTGAGGGGAAAAGAAGAAGGGGACGACAGAGGTGGCTGGATGGAGTCACTGAAGTAATCAGCGTGAGCTTAAATGGTCTCCAGGGAATGCTAGAGGACAGGAAGGCCTGGAGGAACGTTGTCCATGGGGTCGCGATGGTTGGACACGACTTCACAGCTAACAACAACAATTTCAGCAAAATGGCCCAGGAGAGGAATTCGTATCTCTACTGTCTAGAGTACCTCCATGGCAAAATAAGCAGCAAATAAATTTAACAATTAATAATAATAATAGGAAAAGTCACAGAAAATGAGGAAACTAAATTGCTCTGGGGCTATAGAATTCAAACCTGACATGTAACATCCCCGACTATCTTATCTTTTTTTTTAATAGTTTTTTTTTATTAGTTTATAATACAAAAGTCAATAGTAAGGAAAATAGGGAAGGGAAAAGGGAAAGGAAAAGTGAGGGAAAGAAAAGGTGAAAAAGAAAAAAAAAGGCATTGACTTCTGACTCCCTTTGGTGCAGTAGAATAAGGCATTAACCTCAAACCTTAACTTTTTACTTTTACATAATTGTATTAACTAGCCATTAGACATATTAATTATCAATAAGGAAGACAAGAATCTCTGGATAAGTGGACATGGCAGTACCAGAATAGAAGAGAAAGAGTTGGAGATGATAACAAAATACAAAGACCTACAAATAGAAATAGAATGACAATAGAAAGGCAAGCAAGGGTTATACCAATAGTAATAGGCACCTTGGGTGCAATCCCAAAACAACTGGAACACAACTTGAATACCTTCATCGGCATTGACAAATTCACCCTCAGTCAATTACAAAAGGCAGCCTGACTTAGAGCAGCTTACATCCTGTGATGATAACACCATCAAACACCACACCTGCCAATCCCAGACCTTTTGGAAGGATTTGATAGTTGACAAAAATGCCAAGTCCAGTCTGAACATTTGATTGATTGTGCGACGAAACATAATAATCTCAAAATATTTCTGAGCAATTTGGCAATCGGTTGCACGCATCAAATGTGAAACTCACCTTGGCTACTGTATTCATTGGAATTGGTTCCTCCGGGAGGTGGTGGGATTGATGGGTAGGGAGATGGACCTGGACCCAGGGCAGCAATCATCTCCATCACGTTAGGCATGATCATCTGGCTGGGACTCATGGTTTTGAACCTTTTGGAAGGAATACCATCTGGATCATCCTTGATGTGAATGTCTGACTTGATTGGGACAGGTCTCCAGCTGCATGTTGGGTCAATTGTGACTTCTTCAAACTCAGAGCTGTGAAAAAAACAATACATTTGATAATACTGAGAGCTCTCAATACACCATATACATTTTAGATGTTACTAATGTTATTATCATATTAAAGTCAACAAGTCCAATACGTATCCAATTATTGTACAATTGCTAAGTCGTGTCCGACTCTTCACAATGCCATGGACCATAGCATACCAGGCCCCCTGTTCTCCACTGTCTCCCAGAGTCTGTCCAAATTCTTGTTCATTGCATCAATGATGCTATCTAACCATCTTATCCCTCTGCCATCCCTTTCTCCTTTCGCCTTCCATCTTTCCCAACATCAGGGTCTTTTCCAAATAGTCCTCTCTTCTCATTTGGTGGCCAAAGTATTTGAGCTTCAGTATCTGTCCTTCCAAAGAAGGGTTGATTTCCTTTAGGATTGACTGATTTTGATTTCCTTGAAGTCCAAGGGACTCTCAAGAGTCTTCTCCAACACCACAACCCCAACAACTTCAGGATCTGTCCTTCTAAAGAATAGTCAAGGGTGATTTCCTTTAGGATTGACTGATTTGATCTCCTTGAAGTCCAAGGGACTCTCATGAGTCTTCTCTAACATCACCATTTGAAAGCCTCAATTCTTTGGCGCTCAGCCTTCCTCATGGGCCAACCTATCCGCTGCAGAAATGCAAATTAAACATTCCCACAAATGGACTGCCTGGCTTCTGTTTGAACATGTCCAAAAAAACCGAAAGCCACCAACGCTCTTTTCAGTAATTCTTACATATTAGGTCCACGTCCATTTTTTTCTTTAAAAGTTTTGCTTTGGTAGATCAGAATAGAAGCGCATGATTAATTCTTGCCTTTGCTCATTTTCATATCCATAGAATTGTTGAGTTGCAAGGGAGACCCTAGGATAATTTAGTCCAACTCTCTAGTCAGTGCAAGATCCAGTAGAACATCTCTGACAAATGACCAAGTGTCTGTAGACCTTTAATGAAGAAAACTCACCACATTATGTGGCACCATTTAGTGGCTTGTACAGACAGGAAGTTCTTCCTGGTGGCCTACCCACACCTTCTTCATTGTGGCTTTGACCCATTGCTTGTAGTTTTGCCTTCTGTGATAATTAAAATCACATCCACTCAGAGGTGGGAGTCACATAATGTAACAACCAGTTCGCCCAGCACAAAAAATGTGAGTGTGTGCGCCTTCTGCACATGTGCACATCTTCAAAAACACGGCGACTATATAGGACGGGATAGCATTGGGGCAGGGGGGCAGGCCCAGCCACTAGTCGGAACTACCGGTTCACCTGAACTGGTCCAAACCGGCAGTAGCCTGCTTCTGCATCCACTCCTTCTTCTTTCTGACAGTCTTCAAATGTTTGAAAACCACTATCATCTCTCCTCTCAATCATTTTTTTCTTCTTTGCAGATTAAACACAGCCAGATTCTTTCATGACTTCTCATGTGGTTTCGTTTCCATAACTTTCTCTGGACTTGCTCCTATTTGGCACTGCTCTTTTATAACTGGGATGCCCAGATCTGGACACAATAGAGGAGGTCTATAAAGGAGATCTGATTGGAGAAGAATGGTACCTCGGTACTCATCGTTAATTGGTTCCGGGAGGCGGAATGAGCACCAAAAACGAGGAGTACCAAACAAATTTTTCCTATAAGGAATAATGTAGTAGGTCACAAGGCAGTCGACAGCAACAAGTTCTTGCTGACCGATCAGAAGTCTGTCACAAGACTCTCACTTGACAAACCCACATCTGAAGCTCTTATAAACAGAACACTGACACTGACATCCCCTAAACTCTGCTGAAGATGTTACCTAGCCCGGTAACGAAACATTTGGAAACCAACCCACCATCTCAGAGAATAAACCTTTACCCTCAACAAGTTCTTGTCAGTCCTGGAAGCCATCTTTTACTTTGGATCTTCAGGGCTCCCACATTTAGCGCTGTGGGAAACTGGGAGGGAGGATTGTATAAAGTGGAGAGAAATCTAGCCATAATAAAATGAAATGAAATGAAATAATAACATTCTTTTCTTTGAGAGTCAAGGACATCTTGCCCTGCACCTGTGGGGTGACTGGGAGGCATCTCCAGTTGGAAAAGTGCATTGATTGGACCACGTGATGGACATGTGGGAGCAGGGGAAGGGACTTGGACTTTATTTTGGATGGGGAAAACCTGGAAGCTTTGAGATTCAGGTTTTCCCAGATGTGCCAATATGACATCTCTAATAAAATGGAACTTTGAGGAACTTCTGGCTCGGAGTCTTCTTTCGTTGGGGATGTTACTTGGAACCCTGACATTTCCAGCTTGTGCACTGAATTCCAAATGAATAATGAGTACAAGGACAACATTTTTGCTTCAAAATGAGTTCAGTACCAAATCAGTTCCAAAGCAGTTGAGTTCTAAGGTACCACTGCAATTATGGCTTCCCGTGATATGGATTCTATGATTCTGTTATTCTACCCCAAGATCTAATTGCCTTTTTTTCGTACTTGCATGACATTCACTGCTGCTCATTTTAAGTTGGCGTTATCACCTTGCTAAGATGGCAGAACAGAGAACTGACTCTGTCTTGATTTTTGTCTTTGATAATGTTTCACTTCTCATCCAAGAAACTTCTTCCGTTCAAAGGAAAAAAAAAATCAAGGAAGTCCAGTGGCCTTTTGGAGAAAGCACCTTTGCGACAACCATGACAGGGATGATTGAGAATCTCCATAGGCTTCCAGAACAGAAATTCTTTCATCTCTTCACCCGCTAATCAGATATCCTTGCAAGTAGCAAGAGAAAGGCAAGCTCATTAGACAGTCCAGTCCGATGTGCTAGTAATTACATTAAAAAGGTAAAGGTTCCCCCCCCACATGCATCCTAGTCATTTCTGGCTCTAGGGGGCGGTGCTCATCTCCGTTTCAAAGCTGAAGAGCCAGTGCTGTCCGAAGACATCTCCGAGGTCATGTGGCTGGCATGACTCAATGCCAAAGGCGCATGAAGCACTGTTACCTTCCCACCAAAGTGGTCCCGGTTTTTCTACTTGCATTTTTTATGTACTTTTGAACTGCTAGGTTGGCAGAAGCTGGGACAAGTAACAGGAGCTCACTCTGTTACATGGCACTAAGGATTCGGACCGTTGAACTGCCAACAAGCTCAACATCTTAGCCACTGAGTCATTAGCCTACTTTAAATCTGGTCTCTGTTGATTAGGCTCAGCCACCAATACTTTGGCATGCTCCCCACCTCTCTCTCCTCCTTGCTGACTTATAGCCGACAGGAACCTCCATAATTAATATTCACAATTTAGGAAAGATCTTTGGGATCCCAAATTCACATTAGGGGGACATTATGTTCTGAAATGATCAGATATTACTGACCTTAAATTCTATGTTGAAACAAACCAGTGGTGGTATTGTCTTACGCTCGCTACCGGTTCGCTTCGCTCGTGCGCGACACGTCTGCGCATGCGCAGAACTTTCTGTGCATGTGCAGAGCATCAAAAATGAGATGTGATGTCATCCGGGTTGCCCGAACCGGATAGAACTGGCTGAATACCACCACTGAAACAAACTCCAGAAAAGGTCTTTCAAGAATTAGAGCAGGCAAGTGAACGTAACAGATTATTATTATTATTATTATTATTATTATTATTATTATTATTATTATTGTTGTTGTTGTTGTTGTTGTTGTTGTTGTTGTTGTTTAGACTTCTATACCACTTCATAGTGCTTTACAGCCCTCTCTAAGCAGTTTACAAAATTAGCATATAGCATATTAGCATATTGCATTAGCATATTGCCCCCAACAATCTGGGTCCTCATTTTACCCACCTCGGAAGGATGGAAGGCTGAGTCAACCTTGAGCCGGTGAGATTTGCTCTGCTGATCTGCTGAACTAGCAATCAGCTGAAGTAGCTGCAGTACTGCACTCTAACCACTGCGCCACCTCGGCTCTCAACATTAAAAGATACACTTACTTTTGTATAGCGTTCAAAATGCCCCACATGTATTGATCCACCTCCAGGCCCTCCAGCAGAGCTGTTTTACTGGAAGAGAAAAACAGGGGCATGTATTTATGTACTTGTAGTGCATTTGCCATATGATATAAGTTTCTGAAGGGATATAAGTAAAGCAGCAAACCACTTCTATGCGTCTGCCAAGGAAATAAGGAAGATCTCATTACTTGGGCATGTCCAAGTGAACACTAACAATCGAGTTGACTTGGAAGAATCATTTCAAGGAGCATAGCTTATGTAGAACACAGGGACCTCAAAGGTCTTTTAGTCTGGAGGAAATAATGCAACAACATATGGACTTAAAACCAGAGCTGTTCCTATTGGGTATTTTACCAGAGAAAATTAGTAAAGATAATATATATTTGATTATACATGTAATAATAGCGGCAAGGATTGTTTATGCACAAAATTGGAAAGCAGAGAAAATACCCTCGGAGGGAGAAGTAATTAAAAAAAATATTTTATTTTATTTTATTTTTTTGCAGGCAAAAGCCCCTTTTTTATTTTTAAACAATAAAAACATAAAACAATAAAAACATAAAACCATCTTCAAATTAAATTATAAACAGTGTGTCGGTTGGTTAAAAATCCTTTGCGCATCCTATGTTCATAGCTTACAGTTTACCTAAATTCTTATATTATCGATCTAATATATATCTATGTATTATTATCTTCATTGATCATTTATTTGACCATAGCTATTCTTCCCTCATTTTGTACAAAATATTCTAAGATTTGAATTAATATATATTATAACATTCATTTCATCACTAAATCGGTCTAATAGTAATACTTCTTTATGTTATATTTTATATAATTCTAGAAATCTTGAATTATAAAAATCTATTATAAAAAAATTATAAAAAAGATGATAATCTTTCATTTCCATATTTTTTTATCTAACCTTTGATAAAATAAGGTAATTAAAACTTTTAGACTGTGCAGAAATGAACAGATTAACTATGATGAAAAAAGAAAGAGAAGATTCAGAATACTTTAAGATATAGAATCAATTTTACTATTGGTTAGAAAAGAGGTATAAATAAGCTTTAAAAGAGACTGATTTAAAAAAAAATGTTATAACTAGAGTACTATTATTAGTGGAAATTTTTTGTAATGGACTTGGCGAGAACGAAGATAGAAGAGATAAGAGAAGAGCTTTTTGGAGATAACACCGAGATGTCATGTGGAAGAAATGAATGATGTATTACATATTTGTTTGTCTTAAAAAAAAAAAAAAAAACCTTTTATATAAAAAAAAGGTCTTCTAGTCCAATGCCCTGCTCAAGGCAGGAGTCCTTATACCCATGATGGCGAACCTATGGCATGCGTGCCGGAAGTGGCACGCATAGCCATTTCTCCAGGCATGCCAGCCATTGCCCATTGCTCTTCCGGGTTCTGGAGCGCATGTGCGCCGGCCAGCTGGTCATCGTGCACGGGGAACACCGGAAACCAGAAGAGCAGTTTCCTGGCGTGCATGTGCGTGCCAGGAAGCTAAGCTTCCGGTATGTCCGTGCTGGCCAGCTGGTCTTCGCGCATGCATGCGTGCCAGAAACTGGAAGACCAGGTGACCGGCACACATGCGCAAGCCAGAAACTGGAAGCTCAGCTTCCTGGTGCATGCATGCATGCCAGGGAGCTGCTCTTCCGGTTTCTGGCACTCTCCCACGCATGCGTGCATGCTTCCAGTTTGGCACTTGGTTCCGAAAAGGTTAACCAACACTGCCTTATACTATTCAGGTCAAATGGTCTGTTTTTGAAAACCTCCAGTGATGGAGCACTCCCAATTCCAGGAGGCAAGCTGTTGTGACTGTCAGGAAATGTCTCGTTAAGTTCTAGGTTGTATCTCTCTCTTTGATGATCATCCACCCATTACATCTTGTCCTGCCCTGCTGTGGAGAATAAATCACTCTCCTCTTTCCTGTGATAGCCCCTCAAATATTGAAAGACAGTTATCATGTCCCCCTTAATCCTTCTCTTTGATAACGCGAGACATATCTAGTTCCCTCAACTATATGATTTAGCCTCCAGATCCTTTATCAATCTTTATCATCATTTAAAAAAAAATGTCTACAGCAGGGGCAAAATGCTCCCGGTTCGGACCGGATTGCCCGATCCGGTAGTGATGGAGGCGGGTGGTTCGGAGAACTGGTAGCAAAATCCCCTGCCCCACCCCCCCATTGCCCAGCTGAGCTGCACAATCATCAGAGGCTTTTTTTTTAATTTTTAAAAGCATTTTTTCTACAACCGCTTAGGCGGAAGAGGTTATAAAAAAAATGTTTTAAAAGGAAAAAAAAGCCTCTGCCGATCAGGCAAGTCAGCTGGGATCTCAGAGGCTTTAAAAGCATTTTTTTTACAACCTCTTCAGCTGAAGAGGTTGTAGAAAAAATGGTTTTAAAAGTAAAAAAAAAAAAGTTGGCCACACCCACTCAGTCATATTACCCCCCCCACAAGCCACGCCCACAGAACCGGTAGTAACAAATTTTACGTTTCACACTGGTCTACAGCAAAAGTATTTATCACATTTTTTTTAAAAAAAAATACTGTTAGGTTAATGATGTTACTTCTCTGGTTTCACTGGTGCAAAATGGAAGCATAATTTTGTATTGGTCTGGTTTTTCTTTTAGATATTATCACAGACTTTGATATTACCACTCACTTGCATACGGGGCATCTCCAGGTGCCTCGTTCACAGTTCAGCTGGAGGTAGGATTCCAGATCAAAACACTGCAGAAGACAAAGCAGGAAAATCTTAATTAAACGATGGCTTTGCGGCTCGCAAAGAACGCTGAAGATATGGCTGCAAAGAGAACCCTCCTAATGGGTGTGAATAAAGAAGAGAAGCCGTTCTATCAAATGCATGCCAGGAAGAAAAAAAACCCCATCAGGATGTGCTTCAAACCATGACACAAAAGTTCATAGTTTTAATCATTGAAAACACTAGGATAGCGGTCCCCAACCTTTCTGGCTTTGCAGACTGGTTGGTGGGGGGAAATGGTTCCTGCTTTGATTCCTGTTGTGTCATAAAACATGGCAATTCGCATGCACGCATGTCATCCATGCATGCATGCGACATCAAATAACACGGCAATTTGCTTGCATGCTGTCCGCACATGCATGCAGTGTCAAAAACACAATGATATAGAACAGGATTGTGCCCACTGGGTGGGTGGGGGCTGGCCCACCTGCAGGTTGCTACTACCGGTTCGCCTAAACTGCTCCAAACTGGCTGACATTGTGGCCTGTCAGCGGCCTGTGCGGATTGTAGCTGATTCTGACAGTGAGGAGGCTGGTGTGGTGCTGCGCCAGCAGCCTGTGCAGCTGGCACTCGAGTCAGACAATGAGGAGGCTGGAGAAGATGTGGTGCCAGAGGCGAGGATTCAGCCAGGGCCTTCAGAGCCTCCAGAAGCTCCTTTAAGTGAAGAGGATGAAGAGGAGGAGCCTCTTCTCGATGCACGGGCATGCAGAGCTGCCAAAAGGCAGGAGTGGCTCATCAGGAGGAGATCTCCTCGATAGTAAGGCTTGGGGCTAATTGGCCATTCCCTTAGCCTATTTAAGGAGGAACGCCGACTGAAGCAATTTGTAGGGAACAACTTTAGTTCATTCTCCTTCGCATCTGGATTCTCTGCAAATTGCTTCTGGGCTTTCTGCCAACCTTAGTAAGATTGTGATTATTTTATCTTTGGTTTCTTGTAGGCTGCTAAGAAAGTTTCTTAACAGCCTTTGTTTGGAAAAGACTGAGCTATTTTAGTAAATTTAAGTTTTGTACAGACTTTGTGTGTGCGGTGTTCTTTGGGGTCCGTAGCTGGGGCAGAACAGCTGAATCCCACCACTGATTAATACTACTGGTAATTAATAATTAGATGGGTGGCTGTACACATTTTCTAAACAAATAAATACAAAGTTGCACCGTCTTGCAGGAATGGGACAGGTGGAGGTGCTCACCTGTACGTGCTTGCAATCGTGGCCTCTTGCTGGAAGCTGGATTCGCCGGAATGTGATGGGACATTTAAGAGAGACTTTGATGGCTGTCTGCTCCACACCGTCTTCTCCGTTGAGAGGAGCATTGCCCGAAGAGGCGGCCACGCTGCTAAAATTTCTCTTGACTGTTGCAAAAATAAACAAAACAAAAAAAACAAAGGCGGGGGGAGCGATAATAGAATTCATACTTAGGACTGTTTTAACAGCACGACACACTTGGCTTGACAGAAACTGTCCCAAGACTGAATGGAGTTTCATCGTCTGCCTTCCAGGCCAATTTGAAACACAAGTTCTACTCACTTTTGGTGATACAGTGTTCAGCCGGAAGCAGGCGTTTCTTTAAGAGGCCCTGAAGAACAGAACGGACCGAAGGCCGGTGTACTAACTGCAGAACAAACAAATGGGACTGGGGAAAAGGGAGGAAAAGAATCAGTGGGTCTATAGAGGATCCGGGGTCATTCAATCCGAGCATTTGCTTTGCGTGCGGTTGGAAAGAAGTGAGACGGGGAAGTTCAGGGGTGGGCTGCTACAGGTTCGCCTGGGTTCGGGAGAACCTGTAGCTAACTTTATGGCTGGTTTAGAGAACCTCCACAGTATACCCATACAAAGAAATTCACTTAACACCCAAAGACCAGGTCCAACACACATAACAATCCCCAGACACAACCCCACCCACCACAATTCCCCACCATTAAACCAGGAGTGAAATGCTCCTGGTTCAGACCGGATCGCCCGATCCGGTAGTGATGGAGGCAGGTGGTTTGAAGAACCGGTAGCAAAAATCCCTGCCCTCCGCCACCCATTGCCCAGCTGAGCCGCGCAATCATCAGAGGCTTTTTTAAAATTTTTAAAAGCATTTTTTCTATAATCTCTTCGGCTGAAGAGGTTATAGAAAAAATGCTTTTAAAAGTAAAAACAAAGCCTCTGCTGATCAGGCAAGTCAGCTAGGACTGTCAGAGGCTTAAAAAAAAAAGGAAAAGTTCTGCCGATCAGGCAAGTCAGCTGGGATTGTCAGAGGCTTTAAAAGCATTTTTTAACAACCTATTCAGCTGAAGAGGTTGTAGAAAAATGGTTTTAAAAGTTAAAAAAAAAAAAAAAAGTTGGCCACGCCCACTCAGTCATATTACCCCCCCCCCCAGCCACGTCCACAGAACCGGTAGTAACAAATTTTACATTTCACACTGCCCTAAACCACCCAAACATCCACACAACAGACCAAGTAATGCTGTCCAACCGCTCACTGATGGTGGCCCTTTCGTTCATTGTTGAGTGCAATTATAGCTCTGGGATAAAAACTATTCAGAAAACGCGTGGTCCGAGTTTTAATTGTTCTGTATATCATGTATATCATGGTATACAAACTGAATTTGAATTTGAAAAAAAAAATAGCTGACTAAGTTTGGTCTTTAGTAGAAATGGAATTTAAGCTGTGAACTTAACCGGTGAAGAATACTAGGAATATGAAGTCTAGGTAGGACATTTCCTTAATCTAAAGCTATTTCCAAACAGCCAAACCACAGAACGAACAGGTGATTAGGTACTTACACAACAGCATGCCGTGACAGTGATTTGAATTGTATTTCTTCCTGGCTGGCAGACGTGCTTGAGGTGCAGAGGTTTATGCGACGTCTTATTGTCACCCCGTTCAATGGTGAGTGGAGTTGCGTTGACGCTGACCTGGACCGATGCTGGCCAGTTAGTGTTCATTTGCCGGTCTTCATGGTGATAACATTTGAATTGTAACTCCAAGTCTGATCTGTCAGAGAAGGCAGATGTTTGCATTGCTATTAGCACCCGCTCGTTACATACAGTATGTATGGCAGAGTAACAAGAATTGGAAGGGACCTTGGAGGTTTTCTAGTCCAACCCTCGGCTCAAGCAGGAAACCCCATACGAAGGGTGTTGAACTCAATTTCATTGAGGACCACATCAGGGTTGCGTTTGACCTCAGGGGGGCAGGGTGTGTGTGTCGAAGCATAAATCAGCCCCGTTTCCCCCCTGGGGTAATTGCACCTAATTAGAGACGGATGGATCTTGTTTTCCATGCTGTATACTTTAAAGAAAGAAAAACCGAAATATATATATTCTAATAAGGATTTTATTATAAAAATAGAAAAACTAGCTAACTACATCTTTACCGGCAGCTTATCTCACAGACAAACAAAAGAAGTATAAGTCAGGAAGTTAGAAAAGAAAAATGTAGACATGTGCAGTAGCTCAAAGTTTCACAAGACTAGTCTTATCTCTGTTGCTATAGATACGTGATAAAGTTCTCTGGCAGGCTACCGTAACGCTCAGAATGGACGCTCGGCTGACAAACACATAACGCAGTGACAGGGGGCATGGCCAGCTCGACATGACTTGTCTCGGGGGCACCTTTGGTAACTGTAACAGAGTTGGAAGGGACCTTGGAGGTCATCTAGTCCAACCCCCTGCTCACGCAGGAGACCTGCACTAGGGATTCGAACCGCTGAACTGCCGACCTTTCTGATTAAGGTCAGTGGCTAAGACACTGACAAGCTCAGTGTCTTAGCCACTAAGCCACCTAGTCACCACTTGTGGCAGCCTGAAGGCTCTGCCAGTGAAAATGGGCTCCCAAGCTCTGTTTTTGGCTGCAACGGCCTCCTGCGATCCTCTGCCAGCAAAAACAGAGCTCGGAAGGGCCACATATGATCCTTCTGAGCTCTGTTTTCACTGGCAGAAGCACCGCGGGCCAGTCCTTCGCTGTTTCTTGGGTGGCCCTGTGGCCCAGTTCTAAGCACCCCGTGGGGCAGATTGAGCCCCTGGGCCTTGAGTTTGACACCCCTGCCTTATGCCATTTCAGACAAGGGGCTGTCCAGTCTCTTCTTAAAAACCTCCAGTGATGAAGCACCTACAACTTCTAAAGGCAAGCTCTTCCTCTTGTTAATGGTCTAGCTTCAAAACGGGAGTGAGCTGCTCACCCACCGCTGACCCAAGAAAGATTCCGGTTCGGCATCCTGGGGTGTCCACCCACCCTGCCCAGTTGCAATCCTACCTCCACATGAGGGTCTGATGGACGGTCGGCCGCAGGTGAAAGACGTGATTGCTGACCGCCAGGTTGTGCTCCAACCGGAAGGGCTCTAAGACAACCCCATCTCGCACGGGGAACGTCAGGCGCAGCTCGTCATTATGGCTGGCTGGGATTGAAGAGGGAGAGAAAAGTTAATGGTGGACTACTTTCCTATCAGAATAGAATAGAGATGGAAGGGACCTTGGAGGTCTTCTAGTCCAGCCCCAGAGGAGAACCTACACTGTTTCAGACAAGTGACTGTCTAGTCGCTTCTTAAAAATCTCCAGTGATGAAGCATCCACGATTTCTGGAGGCAAGCTGTTCCACTGGTTAATTGCCCTCGCTGTTAGGAAGTTTCTCCTTAATTCCGGGTTGCTTCTCTCTTTGATTAGTTTCCATCCATTGTTCCTTCTTGTCGTGCCTTCTGGTGCTTTGGAGAATAGGTTGACTTCCTCTTCTTTGTGGCAGTCCCTCAAATACTGGAAGACTGCTATTATGTCCCTCCCCACCCCCCAGTCCTTCTTTTCTCTAAACTAGCCAAACCTAAATCCTGCAACCGTTCTTCAGATGTTTTAGTCTCCAGCTCCAGTGCCGTTGTAACTTTGAACGGTCACTAAATGAACTGTTGTAAATTGAGGACCACCTGATCTTTCTATCTGATTCATTCCCAGAAATCTCCCCCCCCCCCCGCTCATCTTAGCACTTAACACTTAGACTTACATACCACTTCACAGTGCTTTACAGCACTCTCTAACCAGTTTACAGAGTCAGCCTCTTGTCCAGGGGTGAAATGCTCCTGGATCGGACCGGATCACCCGATCCGGTAGCGATTTTTCCCTGTGGTTCGGCGATCTAGTATCGATCGCCACCTGGGTGTTATTATTTCCTGGTTATAACCATGAAGTAATTTTTTTTTACCTTCTGTGCATGCACATGTGACACTCGCACGCAACACGTGTATTTCCGAACCAGTAAGGTAGGTAAGTAAATTTCACCCCTGCTCTTGTCCCCAACAATCTGGGTCCTCATTTTACCGACCTCGGAAGGATGGAAGGCCGAGTCAACCTTGAGCCTGGTGTGATTCGATCTGCCAAACTGCTGGCAGCCGATGATCAGCAGAAGTAGCCTGCAGTACTGCACTCTAACCACTGTGCCACTGCGGCTCTATCTGCAATGCTTTGCATATTTCTGAAAGATGCTTTATCCACAGGCCATCACCTCTGGCTTGAACATTTCAACCAGAGCAATATAATTTGCACACGGTGGAAAGCAGGATCAGGCAACGACCTTCCAGATTTGGTACTTACTTGGAGGTGGTGGTAGAGCATTGATATTTGGCTTAATGTCTGGCGGGAAAGGCGGCTTGACATCTTGATTAGGAGACAGGTAGGGTGGCATATTGCTGCCGGGAGTCATAGGTGGTGTAGGATTTCCTGGAACAGGTGAGTGAGGGTAATTTGCTACAGGAAGAGGCCTGGATGGCTGCAAAATGGTGGTTGCCGTTGAAAAGAGAGAGAAAGAAAACAGAATTATCACAGTGGTCAGGGACTTTTGGCCGCGAAGTATTTATTAATCATTTATTATTTATTAATCAAATTTCTATACTGCCCTACTCCCGAAGGACTCAGGGCGGTTAACAGCCAAGATAAAATACAGATAATACAAATATTAAAAAAACCCTTAAAATTATTAAATATATCGGCCGAAACACAGATTAAAACACCCAATTTGTAAAATCACGAATTAAAAAATTTTAAAATTTAAAAGATGGGAGTTAGGCCAGGCCAGCTTGCTGAAATAGAAAAGTTTTGAGAGCACGGCGAAACGTGCGCAGGTCCGGGATCTTCCGTATCTCTGGGGGGAGCTCGTTCCAGATGGTAGGTGCCCCCACAGAGAAGGCTCTCCCCCTGGGGAGAGTAGAATTCCCTATGATAAAAGCATTGGATGCTGTGGGAAAATTTATTGTATTCCCTATAAAGGTAGCCCTCAATTTACGACCTCCATTGAGCCCAAATTTCTGTTCCTAAGTGAGACAATTGCTAGGTGAGTTTTGACCCATCTCACGGCTTTTCTTGCCATGTGTCAGCTCGCAAAGCATCCCTGGACTGCTCTCGAGTTGCCATAGGCAAGGGGGATGGGAAAATTAAATTTGCAGCTACGGCGAAGCAGCACAGCAGCCAAAGACAAAAGCACATTCCAGACATTATCTCTGTCAAGGCCGTCTGCCGGGGTTACCCACAGTGGCCGGAGGGGAGCGATCTCTACAATCCTTGAAATTGCTTCGGTTGCAAATGTGATTGATGACACACCCTAGGGGGAGGGGGAAAACAGGGTCAAGCCTGAGCTGTAGATTACGTGGGGTCATAGTCGGCTACACTTGGAATGTGCCAACATGAAGCTCCTAATAAATAACTGGATTTTTTTTTAACCTTGGCTCGAGGCTCGTGATTTAATTGGGGCATCGGTTGGAACCCTGACACTATGCTTGTTTAGTGAATCGCTTTCCATTGTGAGTCACACAGTTGTGAAGTGACTCTGGCTTCCCCATGGACTTTGCTAGTCAGAAGGTCACAGAAGGAGATTTAGTGACCCCGGGATGCGACGTCCCTATATCTAGAGGCCTCAGATGGGAACTGAAGCCAAGAAATTAAAAGACGCTTGCTCCTGGGGAGGAAAGCTATGGCAAAGTTAGACAGCATACTAAAAAGCAGAGACATCACCCTGCCAACAAAAGTGCATATAGTCAAGGCTATGGTTTTCCCAACTGCAATGTATGGCTGTGAAAGTTGGACCATAAGGAAGGTTGAGCGCTAAAGAATTGAGGCCTTTGAACTCGGGTGCTGGAGAAGACTCCTGCGAGTCCCTTGGACTGCAAGGCGAACAAACCGGCCAGTCCTAGAGGCAGGGCCACATTTAGATGAAAAGAGGCGCTAGGCTATTCCACTTATGAGGCCCTTTCACCTATAGTGAAAGTGTAATTTTAATTTTGCTAACAATTTGAATGTAGGCCCCTCTTGATCTTGAGGCCCTAGGCTGAAGCCTAGTTAGCCTATAGGAAAATCTGGCCCTGCCTAGAGGAGATCAACCCTGACTGCTCTTTAGAAGGCCAGATGAAGATGAAACTCAAATCCTTTGGCCACCTAATGAGAAGGAAGGACTCACTGGAGAAGAGCCTGATGCTAAGAACGATTGAGGGCAAAAGAAGAAGGGGACGGCAGAGAACGAGGTGGCTGGATGGAGTCATGGAAACAGTTGGCATGAGCTTAAATGGACTCCAGAGGACAGGAAGGCCTTGAGGAACTTTGTCCATGGGATCGCGATGGGTCGGACACGACTTCACAACTAACAAGAACAAGAACAACAAAAATATCTAGAGATATCCCTCACGGGGATAGGCTGCTGGGAACTCTTACTATGTATTTTTTTATACAGTAGTGAGTATGTGGCCCTCCTTGGCTTGGATGACAGGTTTTGTACTTATAATAATGAGGGGTCCATGGTGCTTTCTGAGCTAGCACTGATGATGTTACCTAGTTGGGTAATGAAAGGTTTGCAAGAAAACAACCAAACTCAGAGAACGAGGACCCCACAGTCTTTGTCCTCTTCATCCTCCTCTCCGCACTCCACACACCCTTCTAGCACTGATGGTGTTACCTAATTTGGGTTATGAAATGTCTGCAAAAAAACAACCAAGCTCAGAGATCCCCAAGGATACCTCATTTTAACCCTGGGCTGCAAATATCCTCCTATATTGGTGCTTATAATAATATATAGTCAACATGCAAACAATACACCAGCTGCAAGAGTTTTTCGTTACTTATGCAACGTGCAAGAGTTTTTCATTAACATAGTAGCCCCCATTAAAGCTTACCAAATGGCGAAAATGAACTCTCATGAATGAGTAAAAAAAAAAAAAGAGAAAGAAAATGAAGATCAATGGGCCTCACCTTGTAATATTGCCCCATGTTAACGGCTGGGGCGGGATACTGCCCCGTGTTTTGCTGGTTTGGCATTCTCTGTGCTGGGTAGTTGGGCGACGTCAGGGGTCTTGGAGCATTGGGAGCAGGATACTGGCCAGGCTGGGATGGGAACTGGTTATTTGGTCCGTACTGCTGGTTTCCGTAATTTGGCTGGTTGATAGAAAAGAGACCAAAAACAAACATATATGTGTATATGTATATGTTATACGTGTGTGTGTATGTATGTGTGTGTGTGTGTGTCTGTCTGTCTGCCTATCTATCTACTGTATCTATCTTCTATCTATCATCTATCTATCTATCTATCTATCTATCTATCTATCTATCTATCTATCTATCATCTATCTATATCTACCTACCTACCTACTACCTACCTACCCTATCCTATCTACCTACCTACCTACCTACTTGTCTGTCTGTCTGTCTGTCTATCCATCCATCCATCCATTCATCCATCCAACCATCTATCATCCATCTATCTATCTATATCTACCTACCTACCTACATACCTACCATCTATATCTACTTACCTACCTACCTACCTAACCTACCTACCTACCTATACCTACTTCTCTGTCTATCTATCTATCTATCTATCTATCTATCTATCTATCTATCTATCTATCTATCTATCTATCTATCTATCTATCTATCTATCTATCTATCTATCATCTCTATCCATCCATCCATCCATCCATCCATCCATTCATCCATCTATATCTACCTACCTACCAACCTACCATCTCTATATCTACTTACCTACCTACTACCTACCTACCTACCCTATCTACCTACCTACCTACCTACTTGTCTGTCTGTCTGTCTGTCTGTCTATCTATCTATCTATCTATCTATCTATCTATCTATCTATCTATCTATCTATCTATCTATCTATCTATCTATCATCTATCTATCTATCTATCTATCTATTATCTCTATCTATCTATATCTACTACACTACCTATCTATCTATCTACCTACCTATCCTATCCTATCTACCTACCTACTTGTCTGTCTGTCTATCTACCTACCTACCTACCTACCTATTTATCTATCTAATCTATCTATCCACACACACACACACACACACACACACACACAAATACACACACTGTATAGACATTATAATAACACCTCTGGTGGACTGCAACTAAACTGGATCAAAACTAACCCTGTAAGACTTTATTTTGGTTGAAATGTTCCAGCACCATCTAGGAGCTCATCCCGAGAAAAGATAAACATTATTAAATTTGGTTGATACTTAGATGGGAAACCCACCAAGAAAGGTTGACCAGATTTTGGGGTGGGGGGGGGAAGCTTGCCATGGCAAACCATTTCTACACTGTGGGCAAGAAAACTACATGGATATGTGTGTGCGTGTGCGCACAGAACAATCACATTCAGAATTTGGAATACAGAACGAGAGTTAGAAGGGACCTTGGAGGTCTTCCAGTCCAACACCCTGCTCAGGCAGGAGACCTTATACCATTTCAGACAAATGGTTATCCAATCTCTTCTTGAAAACCTCCAGTGATGGAGCATCCACAACTTCTGGAGGCAAGTTGTTCCACTGACTAATTGTTCTAGCTATCAAGGAATTTCTCTTTAATTCCAGGCTGGTTCTCTCCTTGATTAGTTTCCATCCATTGCTTCTTGTCTTGGCTTCAGGTGCTTTGGAGAATAGCTTGATCCCCTCTTCTTTGTTGCTCTTTATGTTGCTCTTCCTCAGTCTCAAGATCCTTTTTACATTGTGGTGACCAAAACTGGATGCAGTATTCCAAGTGTAATCTTACCAAGGCATTATCAAGGGGTACTCACACTTCACTTGATTCCATTCTATTCTATCTTCTGGTTGCCTCCAGAAGTTGTGGGTACTCCATCACTGGAGGTTTTCAATAAGAGATTGGACAGCAATTTGTTGAAATGGTATAGGGCAGGGGTCAGCAACCCGCGGCTCTGGGGCCTCATGTGGCTCTTTCATCCCTCTGTTGCAGCTCCCTGTCAATTTTGAGAGGACCTTCCGGTTTGGTGGGGGGAGCACTACATGCCAGGAGGAGACTCTATGGCAAGAGGCGGGTTTTCTGGTTGGCTCCACTATTGATAGGGCTTTCAGTTAGGACAGGTAGAGGAAAAAGGATGCCGCATTAGGAGGAGACTCTATGGTGAGGGAACCGGACTTCTGATCAGCTCCAGAATTGAATGGGGGGGGGGGCGCTTCCAGTTAGGATCTTTGTGGCTCCCGGTGTTTTCTTTTCTGTGGGAAACAAGTCCAAATGGCTCTTTGAGTGTTTAAAGTTGCCGACCCCTGGTATAGGGTCTCCTGCTTGAGCAGGGGGCTGGACTAGAAGACCTCCAAGGTCCCTTCCAACTCTCTTATTCTGTTATAGAATCTCCATAGTTTGCAGAAGACAGAAGCAAACCCACTCCGAACTGAACCCCTGATACCCACCTCTCCAGGATATGTCCTCTTCATGCCTTGCATGGGTAACGACTGGGGACGTGGACCAGGGTAAGCTTGCTGGGGCATCCTCTGCCCATGGCTGAAAGGGCTCATTCCTGGAGGTCTGGCCTGGCTCATGCCCATGGGTGGCCCGCTCATATTGGAAGGCGTCATGCTTGCCCCCATGGATGCCGGGTTCAGGTTGGCTGGCATGGAAGCGGGACCGCGAGGGCCAGGCTGGTTGATGAACTGGCTGTTGTAAGGCTGTGCCGGACCCATCTGGAAAGAGGAACAAACCTTCAACAGAAGAAGGAGAAGAAGAAGAAGAAAAAAAAAAAGAATATAAAAATGCGACATGGACTTAAAAGGGGAAGGGGAGCCGTGCGGGAGGGGGAATCGGAGCTCTGTCGCATTTTTTTTTCAGGGCTGGTTCTTTTTTGGAGGACCATCATTGCTACTGGGATTTGAAAAGGCAATGGACAAGGAGGCCGTTCTTGATTTAATGGCGGCGTGAAAACTCTCCTACTTAACTTCCGTGGGCCTGGGAGCTACGTCCCCTTGCAGTTTGTGAACAGAACATAGCAGCTCGTCTCTCCTAGGGCCATGGGACAAAGAAATGCAACAGAATCATTTTGGCAAGGGACTCAGCAATGTCTGTGTCAGGATGCCCTAATTAAATCATGAGCCTCAAGCCAAGCTTCAAAAGAAATCCAGTTATTTATTAGGAGCTTCATGTTGGCACATTCCCAAATGAAACCAACTCTGACCCCACGTAATTTACAGCCCCAATCATGACCCTGTTTCCCCCCGTCCCCCCAGGGTGTGTCATCAATCACATTTGCCAACGGATCAATTTCGTGGGCTGTAGAGATCACTCCCCTCTGGCCACTGTGGGTAACCCTGGGAGACAGCCTTGAGAAAGATATGTCTGGAATGTGCTCCTGTCTTTGGCTGCCTTGCTGCTTCGTTGGTTTCCCATCCCCCTTGCCTATGGCACCTCGAGAGCAGGATGCTTTGCGAGTTGACAGTCTGGATAGATGAGCAGCAAACTGGGTTTGATGACTAGAAAGAACTTATCTCCAGTGAACTTTGGCTGTTCAAGGTTGCTCCAGGTCAGTCTGGGAACCATCAGCATTGGGAGGTTAAAAATAAAAATGAATAAAACCAGGAAGAAACCAATCTGCTTCTGCTAAGAAGCAGTATGAACATGTCCATATCCGTTGGCAAAAAATGTGCGTGAATGCCTAAATTTTGGATTTGATTTCAGTCCTTGACTTATGACCACAATGGAGCCCAGAATTTATGTTGTCAAGTGAGAAATTGGTTAAGTCAGTTTTGTCCCATTTTACAACTTTTCTTGCCACCTTTGTTAAGAGGGAATGCTGCAGGGGTCATAAGTGTGAAAAATGGTCACAAGTCACTTTTTTCAATGCCTCTGTAACTTTGAATGGTCACTAAATGAACTGTCGTAAGTCAAGGACTAGCTGTAATGATGATCTGAGACAGGGATTTCTCTGTAGCTGTGGTAGGAAGAGTTCAACACGAGGGAAATGTCTTTCTATTTGCTTTTTCTATTTGCTATTTGTTTTTGGTTTATTGGGTTTTTTAAAATTATTTCTGCTTATTGGTTTTAATCTGGGTTGCCTTGTCGGCGGAACGGACTCAGGACACCCCAGCAGTAACATGGTGCCATTTAGCATGCTGCAAAGATAAATTAACAGGGATGTGGTGGCTCAGCAGCTAAGATGCTGAGCTTGTCGATTGAAAGGTCGGCAGTTCAGTGGTTCGAATCCCTAGTGCCATGTAACGGGGTGAGCTCTGGTTACTTATCCCAGCTTCTGCCAACCTAGCAGTTCAAAAGCACATGAAAAATGCAAGTAGAAAAATAGGGTGGGAAGGTAACAGCGTTCCGTGCGCCTTCGGCATTTAGTCACATGACTTCCGTGGCCACATGACCACGGAGATGTCTTCGGACAGTGCTGGCTCTTCGGCTTTGAAACAGAGATGAGCACTACCCCCTAGAGTCAGGAACGACTAGCACATATGTGCGAAGGGAACCTTTACCTTTACCTTTCCCCCCCCAAAAAAATCTGCCCCCCCCTTTTTTAAAAAAAATCTCCTGTTGCTTTGTACTTAATATCTGCTGACTGTTTTGAGGTGTGTCTGTGTTTGTATGTCTATGTGGGAAAGAATCATTCTTTTAAATGCTAGCGTTTAAATATATGTTTGTTGTTGTTTTAATTTCCTTTTTTAAACCCACCATTTCAATTTTCATGAGCCTTCTGCAGACCTGGCTGAACAGGGAGTGAAAACAGCAATAGCTCTTAGACTTATATACCGCTTCACAGTGCTTTTACAGCCCTCTTAAGTGGCTTACAGAGTCAGCCTATTGCCCCCAGCTATCTGGGTCCTCATTTTACCCACCTCGAAAGGATGGAAGGCTGAGTCAACCTTGAGCTAGTCAGGGTCAAACTTCTGGCAGTGGGCAGAATTAGCCTGCAATACCACATTGTATCCATTGCACCATCCCAACTCTTTATAAATAAATAAATAAAATGAATCTAAAGGACAACTTTCTGAAATAAAGGATCAACGTTTACAAGAAAGGAAACTGGGTCACTATATAGCAATATCAATAGCCCTTTAGATTTATATACTGCTTCACAGTACTTTACAATCCTCTCTCAGTGGTTTACAGAGTCAGCATAATGCCCCCAACAATCTGGGCTCTCATTTTACCGACCTGAAAAGGATGGAAGGCAGAGTCAACCTTTAGGAGGGAGGGAGCGAAGGAGAGACGGAGGGAGGGAGGGAGGAACGAAGGAAGGAAGGAAGGAAGGAAGGAAGGAAGGAAAGAAGGCAGGAAGATAGCAATAGCACTTAGATTTATATACCACTTCACAGTCCTCTCTAAGCAGTTTACAGAGTCAGCCTATTGCCCCCAACAATCTGGGTCCTCATTTTACCCACCTCGGAAGGATGGAAGGCTGAGGCAACCTTGAGCCTGGTGAGATTTGAACTGCCAAACCGCAGCCAGCAGTCAGTTGAAGTAGCCTGCAGTACTGCACTCTAACCACTGCGCCACCTCGGCTGACTGAAGTATCTTTACAAACCACAACATTTTAAACAAGAATGTTGCCTAGGCCAAATGGGGTCCTTTCCCTTCCCCTTTGGCATAAACTTCCCTTCTCTCTCTCATCTGGGATAGAGCTTCTAATTCCTCTGTAATCTCTTTTCAAAATCTTTTCTGAGGTCATCCGAGACTAGCCCAACATATCAAATCTAAACTTTTTTCTTTTTTTCTTTTTTTTAAAGAAAAAAATTCTGGAAAATAGGCAAGGGATGATGAAGCGAACAAGTGAAAAATAAACGAAAGTGATGCTGCACATCAATTAATTACATCTTATTTATAAAATTGTTGCTGCCCATTTAGTAACAAGCCCTTCTACACCTCCAAGAAGAAATAAATGAGACCCCATGAATTAAAAAAAAACAACTCTTCAAATATAGAATGGGATTAAAATATACCCCAGAGGCAGGTAAACATCGTTCTTGGACTCTTAAAAGTTACAACCTTTGAAAACCAAAGGTGATTATCGAAAATCATAGAGATCAATTTCCCTGCTGATTCCCGATTATGAAATTATTACATCTGCGTTGATGTAATAAAGGAACGCCATTATATACATCAATTGAGCTACCTGATTTTCTATATAATGAACAATTATTTATTTCAACTTTTTATGAATAACGAGGAAGCAAGCACAGATAATTCTTAATACCCTTTCCTCCTCCTATTTCTCCAGCAATGACAACCCTGTGAGGTGTATTGGGCTGACAGAGAGAATGACTGGCTCAAAGTCATCCAGCTGGCTTTTGTGGCTAAGGCAGGACTAGAACTCACTGACTCCTGGTGATTGGCTCAAAGTCATCTAGCTGACTTTCACGCCTAAAGTGGGACTAGAACTCACTGACTCCTGGTGATTGCCCCAAAGTCATCCAGCTGGCTTTCATGCCTAAAGTGGGACTAGAACTCACAATCTCCTGGTGATTGCCCCAAAGTCATCCAGCTGACTTTCATGCCTAAAATGGGACTAGAACTCACTGACTCCTGGTGATTGCCCCAAAGTCACCCAGCCATCTTTCATGCCTAAGGTGGGACTAGAACTCACAGTCTCCTGGTGATTGGCTCAAAGTCACCCAACTGGCTTTCATGCCTAAGGTGGGACTAGAACTCAGTCTCCTGGTGATTGGCTCAAAGTCACCCAGCTGGCTTTCATGCCTAAAGTGGGACTAGAACTCACAGTCTCCTGGTGATTGGCCCAAAGTTATCCATCTGGCTTTCATGACTAAGGTGGGACTAGAACTCACAGACACCTGGTAATTGGCCTAAAACCATTCAGTCAGGTTTCATACCTAAAGCGGGACTAGAATTCAGAGTCTTCTGCGGATTGGTCCAAAGTCATCCACCCGGCTTTCTGCTTATGATGGAACTAGAACTCACAATCTCTAGCCCAAGCTTGTGCCTTAACCACAAGACCATACCGGCTGAAATTGAGAGTAATGGCAAACTGCAAAGTTTAATTAGTCACATGAACATAGCAGATAAACCTATTTCTAGTTATCCGCCTTCTAATATGTAATTTGTTTGCAATTACTAGAAGTTATAATTAGATAAATAATTATAACTGAATGAATATGAAAGGAACAAAATAAAACAGATTTGTCTCGATGCAGATTATTTTGCATTAATATTCACAGATACAATTAACCCTGTTCTAAAGTTAGAAAAAGCATTAAGTATCAATAATTTGCAGGAATTAAAACACAGATGGAGATAATAGCTATAAATCAGGACAATGAAGTTCAGTGTATTTAGAGAGATTTAAGATATTCATTAAAAAGCAGGGGTTACTTAGTAAGGTTCTAAATAAAAATAAAAAGAGTTGTTTAAAAACACGAATAGAACCTATTTTTAAGTGGGCTGTAGTTTATGGAGTTGCAATATAATAAAAAAATGGCATAATGTGTTTTTTTTTAATTTACCAGCAGAGATAGACCCTAATGCTGTTTCTAAATATCAACAAAGGAGAATAATAATAATATTAAATAGAATGAAAAAGGGTAATATTACAAAATAAAAGAATGAATTCTTATATTGTATCCTGTATTAGTCTAGAAACAAAAAACATCTACAGGAAGTCCTTGACTTACAACCACAATAGAGTCCCAAATTTCTGTCGCTAAGTGAGACATTTGTAAAGTGAATTATGCCCCATTTTCTTGCTACGGTTGTTAAGTGAATCCCTGCAGTTGTTAAGTTAGGAACATGGCTGCTAAGTGAATCTGCTGTCACCATTGACTTGCTCATCAGAAGGTCGCAAAAGGGGATCACATGATCCCGGGACACGGCAACAGTCATAAATATGAGCCAGTTGCCAAGCGCCTGAATTTTGATCATGTGACCATGGGGATGTTGCAACGGCCGTAAGTGTGAAAAATGGTCCTAAGTCACTTTTTTCACTGCCCTTGTAACTTTGAGCCATCACTAAATGAACTATCAGCGGAGGACTATATGTACATGAAGTCATCACAAGCCAGGCTTGACTGAAGGGAACTCTTGCCTTCTTGTTCATTTAGTTGATCTTGGCTTATCTCAAAAAGCCGCTTAATATTTTGAGCAGACGCCAATGGGAAATCTTTTTATTCCTCTAGTCCAGAGATGGTGAACCTTTTCGGCACTGAGTGCCCAAACCGGAATGTGAATTCAGGCGCGTGCATATGCGTTCACCAGAGCACCGGAAACCTGAAGACCAGCTGGCCGGCATGCACATGCCTGTTTTTTGGCCATTTTGAGCTGTTTTTGGAGCCATTTTCAGGCCATTTTTTGGGTCCAAAAATGGCCTGAAAATGGCCAAGAAAACAGCCTGGAAAACGGCCTGAAAAAGGCCCGAAAAATGGCCTGGAAATGGCCTGGAAAACAGCCTGAAAACGGCCAAGAAAACGGCCTGGAAAATGACCAGAAAAAGGCCCGAAAAATGGGGGAAGGGGGACAGCCATCTGCTCAGGATGAACTTACCCAAACAAGGCTGGATTTCATCCCTATGATCTCTAAAAGTAAATGTTTCCCCTGTTTGTCTTGCCTGAGTCTAGGACACGGTGTTCATCTGTTTCTTGGCCAACGAACCAGTGTTGTCCGAAGACAATTTCTCTGGTCATGTGGCCAGAATGGCTATCCTCCAAAGGCGCACAGAATGCCATTACCTTCCCACCGAAGTGGTACCTATTAATCTACTCGCATCTGAATGCTTTCGAATTGCTAGGCGGGCAGGAGGTGGAGCAGGATGGGAACTTACCCATTGTGCAGAGCTCGGGACTCGAACCTCAGCTCTCCAGCTGACAAGCTCAGCATCTTTAAGCCGCTCAGGTCATCGTACCCCTTCTATGATCTCTATTTCTATCCAAACACCATGAGAATGAAAAATCCCACCCCAACTATGGACATGAACTGGCACGCTTACCGGTCCGTATTGATTCATGTCTTTGTTTTGGGTTTCTTGCAGTGCTGCAACGGTTGCGGTAGCTGTAGCTGTGGCAGTGGCGGCGGCGGCGGCGACAGCAGCGGCGGCGGCAGCAGCAGCTGGTTGAGTGAAATCAGCAGGGGGTCGGGTGTGCGGCGGCATCCCCATTCCCGCAGGGTTATTAGGACCTCCTGGATAGCTGAGGGAGAGAAATCAAATTGACAGACATCAACGTTTGAGTTACCCAAATGCCAGTATGGTCCTAGGCTGCATCAACAGAGGGATAGAATCAAGATCACGTGAAGTGTTGGTGCCACTTTATAGTGCCTTGCTAAGACCACACTTGGAATACTGCATCCAGTTTTGGTCTCAATGATACAAAAAAGATCTCAAGACTCTGGAAAAGAGTGCAGAGAAGAGCAATAAATATGATTAGGCGACTGGAAGCTAAAACCAGGGGTGGGCTGCTGGGGGTTCGCAGGGATTCGGAAGAACCTCTAGCTAAGATTCTGTGCAGTTTGGAGAACCCCCAAATCACACTCCTGGCTGGGTTCACCCACCCCGCCCCACCCAGGAGTCCCCATGCAGCCCATTTTGGATGCAGGTAAGTGCAGGGCACGCACAGAGACTCGGGGAGGGCGAAAAACAGGCCTACCGGAAGTTTGGGAAGGCCAGAAACGGGCCCATTTCTGGCCTCCAGAGGATATCCAGAGCCTGGGGAGGCTGTTTTCACCCTCCTGGAGGCTCGAGAAAAGCCTCCAGAGCCCGGAGAGAGCAAAAACGCCCCCCACCCACCGTGGTGCAGGAGGCCGACTAGGCCACACCCACTCAGCAAACAGGCAGAGAACCTCTTACTAAAAGTTTTGAAGCCCACCCCTGGCTAAAACATATAAATCATTGCTCATGTAAGGCATAAAGAGAACATATCCTGGAGAAGTGGATATTGGAGGTCCAATTCGAAGTGGGCTTGCTTCTGTGTCCGGCAAACTATGGAGATAATATAACAGAATAACAGAGTTGGAAGGGACTTTGGAGGTCTTCTAGCCCAAGCCCCTGCTCAAGCAGGAGACTGTACACCATTTCAACAAGGTAGGTAGATGAGGTAGGAGAGGAGGAAGGAGAAAGTAGGAGAGAAGAGGAGGGAGGGGAGGGAAGGGAAAGAAAGGAGGAGAAGAAGAAGGTTTGTTGTGGAATGAGGGAAGAAAGAGAAGAGCAACTCCGAATGTAATTAAAATGTCTTATTTTAATGCTTTCTTTAAGGGAAACATGTGTATGTAGGATTTATTATGTATAAGAAAATGTACATTTTCTATTATGTGGGGAGGGGGGAAGGGTGGGGTGGGGGAGAAAATTGTTTGTATTTCTTATAAAACTTTTCAATTAAAAAACCAAAAACAAATGGTTGTCCAATCTCTTGTTAAAAACCTCCAGTGATGGAGCGCACACAACTTTTGGAGGCAACCAGAAGATAGAATAGAATAGAATCAAGATCATGTGAAATGTTAGTACCACTTTATAATGCCTTGGTAAGGCTACACTTGGAATATTGCATTCAGTTTTGGTCGCCACAATGTAAAAAAGATATGGAAACGCTAGAAAGAGTGCAGAGAAGAGCAACAAAGATGATTAGGAGCTTGGAGGCTAAAACATATAAAGAATGGCTGCTGGAATTAGGTATCTTTAGTTTAATGAAAAGAGGAGACATGATAGCAGTCTCCCAATATCTCAGGGGTTGCCACAAAGAAGAGGGAGTCAAGCTATTCTCCAAAGCACCTAAAGGCAGAACAAGAAGCAATGGGTGGAAACTAGTCAAGGAGAGATGCAACCTAGAACTGAGAAGAAATTTCTTGACAGTGAGAACAATTAACCAGTGGAGCAACTTGCCTCCAGAAGCTGTGGATCCTCCATCACTGGAGGTTTTTAAGAAGAGACTGGACAACCATTTGTCTAATCTAGTATAGGTCTCCTGCTTGAGCAGGAGGTTGGACTAGAAGACTTCCGAGGTCCCTTCCAACTAGTTTGTATTTGGGGTCAGGAGTAATGCAATGCAGGGAATTTTAACATGAAAATGTGGGTCCCTGCACTTGTCATGGAGATGACAACTACAGAGTTCTGGGAACATCAGCACTGCAATCTCATCATAAATGCATTTGGGCATAATTACGGATGCTCCAAATAAATGACTCCATGTTTTCCTTATTATGGTAATTTTGCAGCCCCAACTGTCTATATTTCATTCTGAGTGCATTTTCTCTTGCTAACTACCTCTCTCCTGAAAATTCCCATTTATTGGGTTTGTTTTTGTTTCTGCTTAGTATGCATGACAAAATAATAATTCCATGTTTGAGGGTCCCGAGTTATGTAAATGATAAAACGTGAAGTTTGGTTCTAAATATTAGTTAAACCTGATTTTCTCTAAAAGGCAGGGACAAAAGGGATGTTTTGAGTTTGGTCCGGCTAATGTTCAACGTTTGTTCTCCTGAGCAAAGCTGTAACATTTATATCTATCAATAGCCTTCGTACAGATGCTCAGCAAAATGTTAGCCACTTTTAAGTCTATGTGTTGCATCATGCATTTAGTGCTTAATTAAAACTATAACTTAGCTTGTATGCCTTATTTGATTGACTTGAGTCATGTGCAAATCATTTTCCTGAAGGTATTTTGATTTCATTTTCCTGAAGGTCTTTTGCTTTAAATTTGAACCCTCCCCTCCCCTCCCTTTGCCTTCTCTTCTCTTCTCTTCTCTTTCCCCTTTCGCCTTTCCTTTCTTCTCTTCTCCTTTCCTCTCCTCTCCCTTTCCTTTCCTTCTTTATCCATTTACTTTCTTTCCTATCCTTCCCTTCTTTATCCATTTAATTCCTTTCCTTTCCTTTCCTTTCTTTTCCTTTCCTTTCCTTTCCTTTATCCATTTACTTCCTTTCCTTTCCTTTCCTTTCCTTTCCTTTCCTTTCCTTTCCTTTCCTTTCCTTTCCTTTCCTTTCCTTTCCTTTCCTTTCCTTTCCTTTCCTTTCCTTTCTCTTCCCTTCCCTTTTATAGCAGCTAAATAGTTTTACTAAGAACTGTATGTTTCTGAAGTTTGTTTTAGGATTTCTCCCATCCATCGGCCTTTAAGAAGACTTTTCAAATTTCTCTTTAAAAACTCATGTCACCTGCTGATTTATCATGGATGTCTTTGAAAATTGCCTTTCCAAGTCTCACCTCTCTGTTTTCAGTGATGAATACAGAAAGGAACGGTCCCGATGAACCCAACTCAATTCCCATCACATTCTGATGACGCCTGACCCCTTTCTTTAAGCCTCTTCTAAACCAGTATGGAATGGGCAACCTCTGTTCCAGCCTTACCTTCCCGCAAAGCCTCCACTGCCTGGATAGTTGGGCCGTCCGTACATGCTTTGTTGAATGTAGGACTGATTGGAGCTGGCCTTGGCCGAGAAGGGCGGTTGCTGTCCGGCAAACTGAGGGGAATTCATGCCAGGATTGCTGGCCGTCATCCCAGAAGCCATGGGGTTGCCTGCTGGGTTCATAGCAGTGTTGGCGTTGGCCATGGGATTTCCCAGCACCTGGTTGAAAGGGAAGGTGACATCTTAAGAGAACATCCATACAAGCAACGGTAGTGATTTTAAGAATTTGTCCCTTCTTATTTGAGAGGAGAAAAAAAAATGGAAGGGTGGATCACCAAAGTAATGGTTTTGGTGGGGATAGAAGCATTGGGATAATGCCCTTGCTTGGCTTGTCCCAAAGATGCTTCTCAAAAGGTAACTGGACTTTCTTAGTTTTTTTTTTTTTCTTAAAAACTTTTTTCTTCTCCTCCAGGAAGTTCATCATGAACTGAAGAACCTTCTAGGAAGAGAAGCAAGGAGAAAACCAAGAAAGTCCAATTGCTCTTCAGAAAAAAACACTTTTGGGACAACCATGACCCTTATGATTAAGAATCTCCATGGACACCTTGCTTAATGTATTTACAAGTTGTTCAACTCCGTTGGACAAAGAGAGATACCATCAATGGTGATAAAACCCCTGAAGCCAACACACCGAGTGGTCTTCTTCTTCTTCTTCTTCTTCTTCTTCTTCTTCTTCTTCTTCTTCTTTCTTCTTCTTCTCTTCTTCTTCTTCTTCTTCTTCTTCTTCTTCTTCTTCTTCTTCTTCTTTCTTTTCTTCTTCTTCTTCTTCTTCTTCTTTTCTTCTTCTTCTTCTTCTTCTTCTTCTTCTTCTTCTTCTTCTTCTTCTTCTTCTTCTTCTTCCTCCTCCTCCTCCTCCTCCTCCTCCTCCTCCTCCCCCTCCTCCTTCTCCTTCCTCTCCTCCTCCTCCTTCTTTGGAACTTCTCAATTATCCAGGGCATGGTTGTCTCAAAAGTGCTTTTTCCAAAGAGCAATTGGACTTTCTTGGAGTTTTTTGGCCTTTAAAAACCTTTATGTTTTTAAGCAAATAAATAAATAAATAAATCAAGACAGACCAGTTGTATTTTAGTAAAAGCACCTTTGGGTCTTTCTTCGTCTTCTAAGATGTAATTTACAGTACGTCACAGAAGTGAGTACACCCCCTCACATTTTATAAATATTTAAGTGTATCTTTTCATGTGACAACACTGAAGAAATGACACTTGGCTACAATGTAAAGTAGTGGGTGTTCAGCTTGTATAATGGCATAAATGTGCTGTTCCCTCAAAATAACGCAACACACAGCCATTAATGTCTAAACTGCTGGCAACAAAAGTGAGTACACCACTAAGTGATAATGTCCAAATGGGGCCCAAGTAGCCGTTTTCCCTCCCTGGTGTCATGCGACTCATTAGTGGTACAAGGTCTCAGGTGTGACGGGGGAGCAGGTGTGTTAAATTTGGTGTTATCGCTCTCACTCTCTCATACTGGTCACTGGAAGTTCAACATGGCGCCTCATGGCAGCACATTTACACCGTTATACAAGCTGTATACTCACTACTTTACATTGTAGCCAAGTGTCATTTCTTCAGTGTTGTCACGTGAAAAGATCTTCTTAAATATTTACAAAATGTGAGGGGGTGTACTCACTTCTGTGATATACTGTACATAGCCAGATCAGTAAAATCCAAGATTGCAGCCTTGTTTGGATTCAGCCCTCCAAATAATTGGTCTCTTGGTGGCTTGCTTAAGTTTAATAGGCACACAATAGACCCTGTCAATTATCGAGGTTCAATTTTTGCAATGGAGTAAACAGAATTGCGAAATAAAGGAGAGAACACCAGACAAGTCTAAGAGAGAACAACTTCCCAGTCTTACAGCAGTCTCAGGGGGGAACATTATTAACCCGTGTCCAAAGTCACACAAGTTTTACCCTTGGCAAATCTTAGTCAAAGTCTAGGAGATGTTTCTGCTTTAAGAGTAAGCCACACCATGTAGGAAAGAGGAATTATCTGTACAAGACATACATCCAAATCTCAATCGCTTGTCTCAATACTTTATGATGACGTGGTGCCTGATCTATTTGCATCCATTCCCTGGCTATCCAAGAACAGAGGTGAGCAAAATTCAATCTTCTGTGACTTACAGACTTTTCGTTCTTTAAAATTATTGCGGCCATCAATGAGTGCTTCTCTACAAAGAGAGACATGCCTTAACAATTCTAGAAACACCGCCCTTGTGAGTTAGACACAGTGATGGGCTGCTGGTGGTTCAGACCGGTTCGGGCGAACCGCTAGTTGCGACCAGCACCACGGCACTATCCCATGCTATATTGCCGTGTTTTTTTAACATGCATGGAAGCGTGTGCGTGAGTGAATCGCTGGGTTTTTGAAGCCGCGTGCATGCATGGAAGGTGAGCGCCCTCACATTTTCAGTGCTGGGCAAACCGGTTGTTATATTTCATGATGCCCACCTCTGCTTAGACCAGGGGTCGGCAATCTTAAACACTCAAAGAGCCATTTGGACCCATTTCCCACAGAAAAGAAAACACCGGGAGCCACAAAACCCTTCCCTGACTATTTCCTGAGCGGCCACAGAACTAGCATATGTAGTTGAATTAAACTTTCTGTTTTCTTCTGTAACATTTCTCTTGGATTTATCCATGGTTGGCCTACACGTTGGCGGTTCTGATATTTTGAGCGAGAGGGAGCCACAGCAGAAGGATGAAAGAGCCACATGCGGCTCCAGAGCCGCTGGTTGCTGACCCTTGGGTTAGACACTTTTATTTCAGAATGAACATCCAGCATAGAGCTATCTCACGGCCCTTTCAAAGGCACAGGTCCCAGTAAACCACAGTTTTCCAGATGGTCTACTTAAAACTGGCCAGCAGCAATTCAGCAAATCACCCAGCTTCACCCTAGCAACAGGACAATCCATTGTGAGCAACGTTACCTGTTGAATCAAGCTTACACCCTAACCAAACATTGCTCAGCCTTTGGGGGAGGCAGGGGAGGAGTCAATCTGAGCACCCTTGAAAAAAATAGAAATGGAGAGAAGATTTCCAGAAAGATACTTACCTGGCTCTGTGATGTGTTAGTCACACCCCATACTGTCGTGACCACCGATAGGGAACCTGGCGGTTGGTTACTGTTTTGTTGCCAAGGAACAGAGTCGTAAGGAAATGATCCATCACTATAATAAAATATGAAAGAGAAAAGGAAAAAAAGGGGGAAGGGGAAGAGACACACATGGTAGATAAAGTCACACTTTAATACTTTCATATAAATGACTACCAGGGCTGGTGGGAAAAGACCTCTTTTTCATTTCCAAACAGGTTTCTCCTCTAGCTAGCTTGGTGGACCTAGAAGGGGTCCTTGGTGGTCTCTGAGTTTGCTTGTTTGCTTGCCGACGTTTCATGACCCAGCTAGGTAACATCACCAGTGCTAGCGTTAGTGATGATGTTACCTCGTTTGGGTATAAAAAATGTCTGCAAGAAAACAAGCAAACTCAGGGAGCACCAAGGACCCCTCGTGTCAACCTTGAGCTACAAATATCCTCCTTTATTGCTGAACCTTCCTGACGGAGATAACCTTGATTGAGTTCATTGGAATGCAGAGAAGAGGGAGTTTTTGGGGGGAAGCTGGAGAAGAGAAGAAATACATAGAATTGAAGAGGGGGCACAAAATGTGTATGACAACGAGGACAAAAAAAGCAAATGGGGATGAAACCAGGTGAGGTGTAAATGTTGGGGTGCAAACTTTTTCATGTTCGCCTACCTGTCAAAATAGCTCCTGGCAAAGCATTTTTTTTGGGGGGAGGGACTATGTGAGTACCTGACAGAATATGTGAATGAATACCTGGGGATTTTGGCTTTGTGTGGTTTACAGGCAGTCTTTGACTTACGGCCACAACCGAGCCCAACATTTCTGTTGCTAAGCGAGGCAGCAGTTAAGGGAGAAGGGCCTCGTTTGATGTTCTTTTGTTTGCCGCAGTGGTTAAGGGAATCCCTGGCGTTGTTAAGTGGATCGCCTGGTCATTGAGCAAATTCCCCATTTGAGTTGGCTTGTCAGAGAAGTCAGCTGGGAAAGTTACAAAAGGCGATCGCTTGAACCCAGAACAGCACAACTGTCATAAGTACATGCCAGTTGCCAAGCACTTGAATTCTGATGGGGATGTTTGCAACGGTTGTAAGCGTGAAAGTCATAAGTCACTTTTTTTGACTGCCGTTGGAACTTCGAATGGTTTTAAGTCGAGGGATACCAATGTTTCTTGCTGAAATCTCTGGCCATCTGCACTTAGCTGCACATCTTGAAGCTTTTGTGTTCCTTCAAGCCAACGTTTTCTACCCTGGCTCAAAACAATCCTTTGATAGCAATAGCAATAGCACTCAGACTTATATACCGCTTGACAGTGCTTTACAGCCCTCTCTAAGTGGTTTACAGAGTCAGCCTCTTGCCCTCAACAATCTGGGTCCTCATTTTTCCCACCTTGGAAGGAAGGAAGGCTGAGTCAACCTTGAGCCTGGTGAGATTTGAACTGCCAAATTGCAGGCAGCCAGCAGCCGGCAGTCAGAGAAAGTAGCCTGCAGTACTGCTCTCTAACCACTGCACCACCATGGCTCGTGTTTGAACAAAAATTACAGAGCCATTTAAAATTGGACTTCCGTCCCATCCTGAACAAGCCAAAAATGCTATTCGTGAACTGCATGAAAGCTACCGGAGGAATAGTAGCTAAGACTCAGCTTTGGTCTACAAAGCCCTTATTGAAATTTTATCCTGATTTACTTCTGTCCTGGCATCAAGCTTTTTCTCCCCCTTCTCAGTCTGGAAATTTATTTATTTATTTATTTATTGGTTCGATTTATATGCCACCCTTCTCTGGAGACTCAGGGTGGCTTACAATGCGTTAAGCAACAGCCTTCATACTTTTGTATATACCTGCTTAGTAGGGCTCCCCCCCCCCCAGCGGTGTTCTTTTTTATACAAAGTCAGCTTATTGCCCTCACAATCCGGGTCCTCATTTTACCTACCTCAAAAGGATGGAAGGCTGAGTCAACCTCGAGCCTGGTGAGATTTGAACTTGTAGTAATTGCAGGCAGCTGGTGCTGCTTAACAGCACTTTAGTCTGCTGCGCCACCAAGGCCCAAGGCAATACTGAGGTCGGCCATGGGCTCACTCAATACTAAAAATTAGAATGAATGAGCTGGAAGGGACCTTGGAGGTCTTCTAGTCCAGCCCCCTGCTCAAGCAGGAGAACCTATACTATTTCAGATAAGTGACTGTCTGGACTCTAGTTGAAAACATCCAGTGATGGAGCGCCCACAATTTCTGCAGTGCTTTGGAGAATAAGTTGACCCTCTCTTCTTTGTGGCAGCCCCTCAAATACTGAAATACTGCTATCATGTCACTCCTTCTTCTTCTTTTCTTTAGACTAGCCAGACCCAAATCCTGCAGCCGTTCTTCATATGTTTTAGTCTCCAGGCCTTTGATCATCTTAGTTGCTCTTCTCTGCACTTTTTCCAAAGTCTCAACGTCTTTCTTTTTTTTTTGTAGTATGGTGCAGTGGTGGGTTGGTACCAGTTCTCCCCGGTTCGAGCAAGCCAGTAGCGGAGATGGTGAGGTGAGAGCGAACAGGTTCGCTCCGACCGTCAGTTGGGCCCTCCCGCCCTCCCCTGAGCTATACCTACTTATATTCGTTCGTTTTTAGCCCAGCTGATAGGCGCGGTAGAGCGGATTGCTGTGCCTCAGCTGTTCTGAAATTCAATGCGCTTGTGTGAAGCGCAAGTTCGGTGTGCGTGCGTGCAAAGCGTGTGTGCAAAGCGAAGCGGTGCTAGCACCGGTTGAAACCCACCACTGGTATGGTGACCAAAATTGGTTGCAGTATTCCAGGTGTGATCTGACTAGGGTTTCATAAAGTGCTACTAATACTTCACATGATCTCGATTCTACGCCTCTCTTTATACAACCCAGGATTGCATTAGCTTTTTTGGCTGCTTCTGCACACGGCTGGCTCATATTTAAGTGATCATCCACTACGACTCCAATTGTCCCTCCCATAGTGACTGTTTTTGAGCCAGGTCTTGCCTAATCTCTACTTGAACTTTTGATTTTTTCCTGCCTAAATGTAAAAAAATTGCTTTTCTCCACATTAAAATTCATTTTGTTGGATAGGGCCCTTGGCTTACGACCACAATTGAGCCCAAAATGCCTGTTGTTAAGTGAGACATTTGCTAAGTGGAGTTTTGCTCCGTTTTACGACCTTTCTTGCCTCCGTTGTTAAGTGAATCGCTGCAATTGATAAGTAAGTAACCCGGTTGTTAAGTGAATCTGGCTTCCCCGTTGACTTGGCTCATCGGAAGGTCGCAAAAGGGGATCATGTGATCCTGGGACACCGCAACGGTCGTAAGCATGAACCAATTGCCAAGCATCTGAATTTTGATCGTGTGCCTATGGGGATGCTACAAAAACGGACATAAGTCACGTTTTTCAGTGCCGTTGTCGCTAAACGAATTGTTGTAAGTTGAAGACTACCCACATGAGCTCGTTTGGCCTAGTTGTTAAGGCACCAGGCTAGAAAACAGGAGACTGTGAGTTCTAGTACTACCTTAGGCATGAAAGCTGAGTGGGCCAGTCCCACTCTCTCTCTCTCTCAGCCCAACTCAGCTCACAAGTTGGTTGTTGTGGGGAAAAAAGGAGGACGAACGAACATTGTGTGTGTGTGTTTGTTGCCTTGAGTTATTTGTAAAAATAACAAAAATGTTATACGGGTAAATAAATGAGATAAAATAATACAAATAATAGGCCTGGGATGTTTTTTTAAAAAACCCATATAAAAGTGAATGACTGTATTATTATAACCCTGAGGTAATAAAACTATGTATTTTCTGTCACAGCTAAGATCATCTATTCCTATAAATTATATTCGCTGATTGGATTTATAGGTAGGGGTCTTATTACAAGTCCCTTTTATATATGAGTCAAGATTAACAGACTAAAGTAGAAATTGTATACCCCCATCTAAGTCTCCAGGGTCTCACCTGTCCTAGGACTGAATACGGCAGAAATCGTGATTAATTCATCTTACAACCTATAGCTATGACTTTTCGAATTCGCTATAGTAATCTTTCTGCTCTCGTACGATTTTCCCCATGCACGCATTTTACCTACTCCAGGTAGTCCTCGACTTACAACAGCAATTGAGGCCAAAACTTCTGTCACTAAATGGGACGTTTGTTAAATGAGTTTTGCCTTCTTTTACGATTTCCCTTTGCAACTGTTGTTAAGTGAATCACTGCACTTGTTAAACTGGGAACATGGCCGTTAAGTGAATCTGGCTTCCCCGTTGACTTGGCTTGTCAGAAGATCACAAAAGGGGGGGGGTCACGTGACCCCCCCTGGCTACTGTGACCCTGTCGTAAACATGAGTCAGTTGCCAAGTGTGTAAATTTTGATCACATGACCTTGGGGAGGCCGCAAACGGTTGTGTGTAAAATGGTCATGAGTCACTTTTTTCGGTGCTGTCGTAACTTCAAATGGTCACTAAATGAAGTGTTGTAAGTCAAGGACTATCCGTGCTTGCCTAATTCACGCCCCTGATAACGTGCCTCAAAATGGATTACTTCCTGTTCTCTGTCATTTCCCCCCCCCTCTTATATGTGTTTAATCTGTATGAGTGACAAACACGCCTACCTCCTCTTTGAAAAAGACAAGGGAAATCCAGCGATTGATGTATGACTACGAAATTCTGAGAATGCCATTTATAGACTTAAATAGCATCTCAGGTTGGACGTAAACATAGCATTAAAAGAAAAAAGAAAAAATTGGGGCTGCAGCTGTTTTTGGCTGAATTATCCGATTTACTAGATGTTGTTGCTATGCCCACTGATGCTGGAGAATTAAAAGTGCCCCTTTCACACTAGCACACGGGTGTAAAGGAAATCTTTGTGCTCACATGCAAAAGACCTCTAAGGACTGCAAATGGTTGTGTTCACAAGGATTAAACACTTGTCGTTGCAGCTTCCATTGTTTGCTAAGTGTGCAAGTCCAAATGACGAACATTGGATCATAGGTCAACAATTCTTATTGGCTGAAAATGAACGATGTAAACGAACAGAAAAAGGAAGAACACATATGGAAAAAACTAAATGGGTCTGAAATATCTTCTTAACCATGATTCGTTGTTAAGAATCTTTATGCTGAGGGTAACCCTTTAGCATGGGTGTATTCCATGCTTAAAGAGCAATAGATGTCATAGGTGTAAAGGAAAGAAGACTTCATTAGAAAATATAAAGACTTCCTCGAAAACAATTCATAGAAATTTGTTTAGATACGGGGGAAAAAAGATCTACTAAAGATGGTTTCAGATGTTGCCTAGATAGCTAAAATAAACTAGCATGCTATGCACCAAATACCACCCTTAATGGACTTTGTTATTGGGAGATTAAAAAAAAAAAAAGGACGAGGGGAAGGAAAGAAAATATCAGAAATTGGAACCCTATCTTAGGTCATCTGTACGTAAAAAATTATTCATTTCACATCTGAGAGGTAGAATTAGGTCTTAGAATGATGCAAATCATCATTGTAAATATTGAAAACTGGAAATATGACGCCATACTCTTTTATCTGCCATTCAAATCTCATTTCTCTAAGTTCTTTGAGAACCTGGTGGGTTTTGGTAAAAGAATAAGGGGGAGGGGAGAAAAAGTTCAGTCAAAAGGCAACCAATTTTCTACCACTGGAACTCTTGATCTTGTCTGAAATTGAAGAAAACAAACAAAAACCAACTAACAGGGCCCTTGGCCTGCCAAAGTTTAAAAATTCATGTGCTAGATTATGGTAGTTTATTCTCAGATTCACAAGAGACAGTTTACCTATATACTTTCCTAAAACGTGTCAGGAAACTCCAGAATGTAGACATCTTAAAGCTGGACTGACTTTGGTGGACAAGTTTGGAAAAATCTATTTTCACTCTCAAGAGGCTGATTTTCTGTTTGTAACATTCATGTGTAAATAAGGATACATCATATCATCACAGAATTTATATATATATATATACTCTGAAATAATCTTAAATTGTTTTTGCAAATGTTTCCTACGTCTCTTGGTTTGTTTTCATTTTGCCACTTCTCTTGATCCGCCATGGGGTTGTCCACAACATTTCCCACCGTAACGGAAGAGAAGAAGCAAATGAACGATTTGCAAACGTCCCCAATCAACCCTACCGTAAGGTAGCTAAGCCTCAAAGACGAAGGAAGGCAAATATATACGTGTCCCAAGATAATGAATTGCAGGATCCAATTTGGGTTGGTGAGCAGGACCAGAGGTTTAGCCTTACGAGCGTTCAGACTTGTGCTGGAGTTATTAAGCCACTAAGATTGTTGGCCGAGCAGGGACAAAAACAGCCAGGGAAATGATTGAAGCCTGGGAAACAGGGCCCTTCGTCAGTCAACAGGAGTGTTGATTTACCACCAGCTGAGCAGGTGCTTAGGAGCCAGAGGACTTGGTAGTACGAAGTAACAACCACCCATGACTTAATAACTGGCCATCAACACCCCAATCAACAACTAATTAGTCACACACAACCAGGCACCACATAAATACTATGCATAGAATAGCCCAAAGCACAGATTCTGGTGAAACAGATGTTCCCTGAGGATGGGCTGCAGCATCCGAGTCTGAAAGCTTGAAAGACTAAACCTCTGGTCCCGGTGACCGACCCAGATTGGATCCTGCAAGCATCGACATAATTGATCTTCATTGCATTAAAAAATCAAACGCATCTTCCAGGGACTGTCAGCAGGGTCTTCAACAAACCATGATGATGTAATAATGATGACGCAAGCACAATAATGAATTCAGTCAATGACAACATAGTTGCATCATCATGGTCTAAAGCAAGTAGGGTTGGCGTGATTACATCATCACACCTGGATCTTCAACTACCTTCCTTGTCTTCCCCAATGGATGCTCTGGACTTCTATAAATCCTTATTATGATCCCCCCACTTTTTTTCCTGCTTCAGATGTTAGAAAAAAACTCGATCAGGGTTAAATACGATGCACCTTGGTTTGGAGATAGGGTGTGCGGTTGCTATTCTGTCTCAGGCAGAAAAATAACAATTTGATGCAGCTCTATTCCTACCCTGGAACATGAAGAAAGCAACTGGAGGGCTAAAGAACATAGATATTCCTGATTGGCTTGATACAAGGGAAAGATCTAGGGAAATCCCTTGGCTAGAAGGAAGGGATCCATCTCTCTCCATATGAACCCTCCCTTTCTGCGGCTAGTCCACGAAAAGACATGAAGAGTCTTTTACAGCCTATTTCAGAGCCTGGCTCTTTAGCTGTAGAGACTCACGCTTTCAGCTCTGGAGGTCCCCGTTTCAATCTCTGGGGTCTGTCAAGGTGGCAGCCGTCACATATGCACCTAAGAATCAGAAGGGAAAGTGTAGATCCAGAATAAAAATCGAAATCCCTAACAATGTACATTGTCTTGCATTTGGTATCTGGCGCTCATGATACCCAGAAGCTAAGCTTCTCCGGGCAATAGGCTTTCCCACACATACACATACATATACCAAGTGGCCCAGTGGTGAAATCCAAATTATTTTGCTCCCGGTTCTGTGGACGTGGCTTGGTGAGTGTGGTGTGGCTTTGATGGGCGTGGCTTGGTGGGCGTGGCAGGGGAAGGATATTGCAAAATCCCCATTCCCTCCCCACTCCTGGGGGAACAATACTGCAAAATCTCCATTCCCATCCCACTCTGGGGCCAGCCAGAGGTGGTATTTGTTGGTTCTCTGAACTACTCAAAATTTCTGCTACCGGTTCTCCAGAACCTGTCAGAGCCTGCTGGATTTCACCCCTGAAGTGGCCTGTCCTGTCATAGTGTCCAGTTTGACTGGCTGATCGATGTCCCTCTTCATTTGGTTTGCCAAGTGGAGAAGCGTAATCTTATGTCATGGACGTCTGGTTAGGAACTCCTCCAATATGAAATGCATCCCATCTCCTCATCATCACAAAGCTAAACACACACACTGCTAGCTTGTACCACCTAACAGATCCTCCATGTCATTTAGAATTCTAGAATTGGCTAAGGGAGATGGGTCTATGACAACTCGCCGTGGCCAACTCCTTGCGGCCAACTCGCGACAGCCAACTCGCGACAGCCAAGGTGCTGCGGGACAACTCACTGCAGGGCAAGAGTTACACTAACATCAAAGAAATGGTGGAAAAGAGTAGGATCATTAAAGAAAGGATGCATACGGAGGGCGAAAATGAAATGTGAATGACAAACAAATAAACTAAATTTTAAAATAAATAATTACGTTAAATTTTCCCACGGAGAGTTGGCCATGGTGAGTTGCCTGCAGTGAGTTGGCTGTGGCAAGTTGGCCCCAGCAAGTTGTCTCATTCTGAAGGGAGACCTGACTTGATCTATGGAGTCTGTAGCTGCTGTTAAACATGTTGGGATTTCCATTCTCAAATATGGGATCATCTCTGTCCCCAAGCCAACCCTTGCCAGCAACAACCACCGATGTGGACAATCAACATGATCACCCAATTTTTTATATACTCCCCCCCCCCCTTTGCTATCTTTTTAAGGCACTCATTCACCGCAAGTATAATGAGAAAGAATCTGATATAAGAATACAGGTTTGGGTGCTTTTCTGAAATTGCGTACATAATCGAACCCCAAAGACATGAGGCCACCAGTCTGAAATAAAGATTAAGTTGGCGAATTGTTGACTGCATGCACGGATGCTTGTGGAAAGATTCAAACATGCCTGAATGTGTTTAAAAGAACCTTAATCTCACAGTGATCAGTTCTGTCTTGACAATAAATAAAATAGAGAGTTGAAGGACATAATTCAAGATGAGACAATCAAAGAGTTTATCTATAAAACAGAGAGCAAACCCCACTCTTTTCTAGCACTGATGAGGTGACCGAGTTGGGTAATGAAACATCTGCAAGAAGAGCACCAATCTCAGACAGCAGAAAGGGCCCTACAGTTCAACCCTGAGTTACAAGTATGCCGTTCTATTGAAGCATGTCTTTACTGAGCTAATCCTGGTACATTTCCTAAAAGTCCATTGGATTGATTGTGCCATCATTCTTGCTCAGCAGAGGAAGATACCAAGAAGCTCAGAGACAGTACAACTCTCTCTCTCTCTCTCTCTCTCTCTCTCTCTCTCTCTCTCTCTCTCTCTCTCTCTCTCGCCTTCTCTCTCTCCCTCTCTCCTTCTCCCTCTTTCCCTTCCCCCCCGCCTCATATTGCTAAAATTGACTTGAGATTAAAATGGCTCAGAAACGAATCAGAATTTGCCAGTGTTATGGTCCACAAGCAGCCTGTGGAGCTGGCAGCGGAGTTGGACAGTGAGGAGGCTGAGGAGGAACATGGGCCAGTCCTGTAGTCTGGGGAAGGCTCGGATGAGGGCTCTGCGTCAGAAGCAGAGATGGGGCCAGGGCCATCTGGGAGTTATGCACGGACTCCAGAGCCTCCAGAGAGGCAGAGGAACAGGAAGAGCCTGTTCCTAGTGCACGCATGCGCAGAGCTGCCAGAAGGCAAGAACAGTTAAAACTAAAGGGATGACTCAGGAGTAAGGCCTGGAGATGATTGGCCCCTCCCATAAGGCTTAAAAGAGGAGCAAAGACATGTGGGCCCTTTGCAGGAAAGCAACATTGTTAATTCTGTTCCCAGTCAGCATCTCTGTTTGATTCTGGACTCCATGTGGCTTTGCCAAGTAAGTCTTTGGCAGAGTGTCAAGGGAGATAAAGGTTGGTGATTATCCCGAAGGACTTCTCCCGAAGGACTTTTTGCAACTAATTGGGACTCAGCTGTGAATGAATATAATTCACAGCTGTTGCAATAAAAGAGGTTTTTGGGACTACTCGTGTGTTTTAATGACTCAGGAAGCCTAGGTCACAACAGCCAGGGAGCAACAGAGAATCCCAGATTGTTAGCAATAATTTGATGCCCATATTATACCATAGACAAGATAGATATAACACACAACCACAACATAAGCAGCTGCCCATTGCTGCCTCCATACGGCAGAGGATTTTCAGCAGATGACTCGTACGCAACCTTTCCAGTTCTACAAATTTCTGATCCTATTTCTTATGGTAAGCATTTTGGCATGTTAGATGGGAATTGAGAGATGGAATTATTAGAATCATGGCACATTCTTCTAGCTATACTTTCACAAACTGATATGTTTAGACCTTATTCCAACATTGGAAATATAGCACTAGCACTAGCCCTTAGACTTATATACCGCTTCACAGTGCTTGACAGCCTTCACTAAGCAGTTTACAGAGTCAGCATATTACCCCCAAACAATCTGGGTCCTCATTTAACGACTTTGGAAGGATGGAAGGCTGAGTCAACCTTGAACCATTCAGAATCGAACTCCTGGAGTGAGCAGTGAGTTAGCCTGCAGTACTGCATTCTAACCACTGCGCCACCATGGCTCTTACAGCACATGTGAAAAGCATGTAAAATAATAAATAGGGTTAAAACTAAATGACATTTGCCCAGTATTGGGCCATATCGACACCATGTTTTCTTGCCAGCATGAGGTCTTCCCCATATATATTGAAGGACATTGTATGCACCATGGCATGTATGAGATGAATTGTTCTCCACATTCACAAAGAGTATCTTCTATTCGGTAACCCCATTTTCTTAGATTGTCCAAAGAGGTGGAAAGGGTCAAGCTATTCTCCAAAGCATCTGAAGGCAGGAGAAGAAGCAATGGATGGAAACTAATCAAGGAGAGAACCACCCTAGAATTAAAGAGAAACTTCCTGAAAGAACAATTAACCAGTGGAACAACTTGCCTCCAGAAGTTGTGGGTGCTCCAATACTGGAAGTTTTTAAGAAGAGAAAGGACAACCATTTTCTAAAATGGTATAGGGCAGTGGTGAAATTCAAATTTTTTTACTACTGGTTCTGTAGGCATGGCATAGTGGGCATGGTGTGGCTTGGTGGGTATGGCTTGGTGGGCATGGCAGGGGAAGGATACTGCAAAATCTCCATTTCCACCCCACTCCAGGGGAAGGATATTGCAAAATCTCCATTCCCACCCCAATCTGGGACTAGCCAGAGGTGGTATTTGCTGGTTCTCCGAACTGCTCAAAATTTCCACTACCGGTTCTCCAGAACCTGTTAGAACCTGCTGAATTTCACCCTGGTATAGGGTCTCCTGCTTGAGTAGCGGGTGGGACTGGAAGATCCCCAATGTCCCTTCCAACTCTGTTATTCTGTCCTTTGATCTTTGATCAGTGTATTTAGAGATTTCCATACAAGCCAAGGTTGTACCTGACCACATGGCAGTCATATGGTTATACTCAACCGCCTGGTAGCTCCTTACTTGTCTTCCATAGTTCCAGGGTAGTCTGTGGCAGCTAATTGTTAAGGATGGGTGACAATGGTGGGTTGCTACCGGTTCACCCAGGATTGGGTGAACCGGTAGCCACCGCAGCGGGAGGCTCTGCCCACTTACCCAGACGTCTCTGCGCATGCGCAGAAGCATCGTGCATGCGTGAGAGTGCACGCATGCCAACGAGCGAACCGGTAGCAGCTGAAATTGAAACCCACTACGGGTGGGTAAGTGGAAATTTTGAGGGAGGTGTTTTTCGATCTCAGTCTCAACCTTGGAGGTTGATGGTCGTAGAATACTGTAGGTGTGTTTCTGTAGATGTTGCTTTGACCCCCTCTTTCTGACACTGGCAGCTTCTCCATCTTTTGTTGCTTGTTATGTCAGGACTGGTCATGCGAAGGATGTCAATAAGAGGCTTCACCTTCCACAGATGCATTGCTACTCTTCCCAGGGGAGAACATTGGTGCAGAAATTGCTGATCCACAGTTTCCTCCAAAGTCACCTTGGATGTCAGCATTATTTGACTAGCAAGGAAACAACGCAAGCTGCAGCATTTCCTATTTTGGATAGCTGCCTCAGATGATCGGAATAACAGAGTACAGCTTTCCTTCATCTTAGGAACGGTTGCAAGAAGGAATGTTCAAGTGTCAATGAAGACTCAATCATCCATGCCGAAGGGGTCTAAAAGTTGAATCATGGCAACTGGTCCAAACTTTGTTAATCTGCGATGTTTCGTTGCTCATTCAAGCAACTTCAGCAGATAAAGTAATAAATTTAGTTTGGCAGAAAGTCAGAGAGTTGTTGGAATGTGCCCACTCTTGCCACACCAACTAAAGGGGTTTCACCCCAAAATGCATTGCAATATGCCAATCATAAGAACACTAAGATCATGGCACCCGGCCCTCTCAATTCCTGGCAAATAGATGGGGAAGGAATGGAGGTAGTGACAGATTTTATTTTCCTGGGCTCTGAGATCACTGCAGATGGAGACTACAGCCAAGAAACTAAAAGATGCTTGCTCCTGGGGAGGAAAGCTATGGCAAA